CCGCGGCCGGGCCGGGCAGAACCACCTCCCTCCAGTACGTACGCGCGGCTCCATCGGGGTCCCTCCGGACGCCGCCGGCCTGCAAGCCCCTTAAAGTCGGAAGGACAGTGGTCATCCCGGGCCCGGGCCCCCCCACTGCCCCTGGCCATCTGGAAGCCCGACGCTGCGTCCCTGAACCTTTGTCAGACCCCCAACCCTAGGAGTCGGGCGCTTGTGGCAGGGAAGTCCTCGTAAGGGTCCGGTCACTTTGCAGAGGACTCCCCGGATCCCTCATCACCCCGGATCCCTCATCACCCCGTATCTCCTTTTCCCTAGGCTTTTCCATCTCGTTCGGAATAACCATGTCCATCCTCTACGTCTCCCCACACCCTGATGCCTTCCCCAGCCTTCGGGCCCTCATAGCCGCGCGCTATGGGGAGGCTGGGGAGGGCCCCGGCTGGGGGGGCGCCCCCCCTCGCGTCTGTCTTCAGCCACCTCCGACTAGCAGGACTCCCTTTCCCCCACCCCGCCTGCCTGCCCTGGAGCAAGGGCCCGGTGGGCTTTGGGTGTGGGGGGCCACGGCTGTGGCCCAGCTGCTGTGGCCAGCAGGTTTGGGGGGGCCCGGGGGGAGCAGGGCAGCTGCCCTCGTCCAACAGTGGGTCAGTTACGCCGACACGGAGCTCATACCAGCAGCCTGTGGGGCCACGCTGCCAGCCCTGGGACCCCGGAACTCCGCCCAGGACTCCCAGGTGAGTGGAAAGATTCCCAAGTAGGAAGTACAGATTGGGATGCATAATGAGGAGTTAGAGGATAGGTCTATCAAATGCAAATGGCCACGCGGTGTGGAAACCCCGAGCAGGTTTCTTAAACCTTTGATTTCCCCACCCCACACAGAAGTGATGCACTTACTACCTGCCTCCGGCAGTTGGTGAGGAGGCAGAAAGATGTGTGTGGAGCACTGAGCTCAGTGCCTTGCCCTTTAAAAACTTGGAGTAAATCCTAGGCTATGACACTGGGGGGAGTAGGGGCTCCTTTGAAATGGGGGCAAAAGAGTGATGGGGAAACAGGGTGAGTGATTAGGCAGGTTGGGGAGAGAGGACAGCAAGGAAGAGATGAAGGGACAAATGAGTGAGGGAAAGAGGTGATAAGTGTCAAGGATCCAGTGCACTTAATGTAGCTGTCTCGCCAGACGGTGGGTGTGGCTGTGTAGCTTCTGGTAGAGTATTGAGCACGTGGTGGATGCTTAGTATTTCATCATTTACTCACTGAATGTGGCGGGTAGGAAGACCAGAGATCAAGGGGGTTGTCTCTGCCAGGTTTCTGGAAAGGAAAAATATTCACACAGCAGAAGCACTTTTTTGGGTAGGTTCATAAGTTTATTATGTTTTTAGAAAAAGATAATTTCATCGGGGGCTCTTACAACTCTTGTAACAACCCATAAAGCAATTGTATCAAGTATATGTGTACATATGTTGCCATCATTCTTTTCTAGACGTTTACTTTCTATTGAGCCCTTGGTATCAGGTGTCCTGTAACACACACACCCCTCCGCCACCCAGCATTTGTTGTAATCCAAGTAGCTTTTAGGAGGAAAGGGAAGTTTTGGGCAGCACAGTCTCATACACGCTATCTCTGGACAGCATTCAAGGCCATAGGAAAGTTCAAGATTGAAAATGGCTGCTTCAGGGGGCCCTGAAAAACCCCGAGGAAAAAGGAGTACAGAAACAAGAGGGAGACGACTGCCCTGGGCCCCTGCTTTTTATCCCCTCCCACCGCCACCTGAGGTTAAGGATATTGGATGTTCTTAGTGGCTAAGTTAAGGTGCATGTGAGACAATGTTGCTGTTGTCTAGTGTGTTGCCCTGGTTGATTGTCACCTGGGCCTAGGTGACCTTGGTCTGTGCCTGCCCAGTTTTGGATTATCCTCAGGGGTGTCTGAGGTATGCCTGATTCCTTTCAAACACCTGCATTTCAACATGACCAGCTAATCTTCGTTAAGGCCTTCAGTGGAGACAACCCCCTTTATCCCTATCTTCCTACCTGTCATCTCCACCAAATGCCCCCACACATACACACACACTTTATTGAGAAAAATACGATCTGTATCTGCTCATTTGTCTCCAACCCTTGAATGTGAATTCCAGACCCGAGACCTTGCCTATCAAATAATAAACCAGATCAGTTGCTATGAAGTTGGTTCTGACTCATGGCAACCCCATGTGTGTCAAAGTAGGATTACTCCCGAAGTTTTTGTGTTTTAGAATAATGTTTTATTGCATTTTAGGTGAAAATGTACACAGCAAATTAGGGTCCTCTTTCATTAAGGCACCTTGAAGGCATAGTGGCTCCGCATTGGGCTGCTACCTGCAGGGTCAGCAGTTTAAAGCCACTAGCTGCTCCTTGGGAGAAAGACAATACTTTCTATTCTCATAAAGAGGTAACAGCCTTGGAACTCACAAGGGACAGTTCTACTTTGTCCTAGAGGGGGAAAGATGATGATGTCTCCCATAGAAATTTACCTATTAATCTCTTAATAATAGAGGTTCTGAGAAACCCTGTAGAGCAGCGAGCAGTTAGCCTGTGGGTCGTGACCCTTTTGGGGGGGTCGAACGACCCTTTCACAGGGTCTCCCCAATTCATAACAGTAGCAACATGACAGTTATGAAGTAGCAACGAAAATAACTTTATGGTTGGGGGTCTCCGCGACAAGAGGAGCTGTATGAAAGGGCCGGGCGTTAGGAAGGTTGAGAAGCACTGATATAGAGTCACTGTGAGTCGGCATCGACTTAATGGCAGTGGCTTTTTTTAAAGCAACTTTTATCGTACTATGCCATTGGTTGCAGTTTTGCAGTGTGTCGACTCTAGTCACTGCCCATTCTGTTTGTTCCGTTTCTGTTGACCCGGCTTTCCTGGCCTGCCCTGCCTTCTCGCCTTTGTTCGTGAGACCAGTTTGCCTGTGCGTGCTCATGTGTGTGAAGGGAGCACGTGACTCCCTTGCAATCCCGCTTATTATTTGGCTGCAGGGTGACCTGCAGAGATGGCTTCCATTCCGTGTTTAAAAGTCATTTTAGGGTGATTATCTTGGGAGTTCCTCTCGTCTTTTCTAGCCCAGTAGCTCTGGACTTTTAAAAGACGGTGGGCTTTGTTCTGCCCTTTTCTCCCACCCCAGATTCTCTCTCCTGTCCTGATTGGTGTGGTTATGATGGGTAGCCGGGCACCATCTAGTTCTTCTCGTCTCAAGTTTAAAGGGGCTGTCCCTCCTGTGGGCCCTTAACCCTTTGATCTTTTGAGTCCCATTGTTCTCTCTTGAGCCCTATGAGTAGAGATCTTAGATGGCCGCTTGCAAGCTTTGAAGGCCGCACTCCAGACACCGGGAACTGTGCCACTGTCAAAGTCTCCCCCAGACTATGATCTCAGGGCCCTTGGGCCGGTAAACGCATCGTGTGAGTTGTTAGGTCTGTTTGGTGTGATATATGTGGATAGACGCAGCTCACACAAATGTATATATACATATAGACCCACTAGTATCGCTGCGGGTTAAACTTTGGACTGCTAACGGAGCGTTTAATGGGTTGAACCCACAAGCAGCTCAACTGCACCGGAGACAGTCAGCTTCCGGAGAGCTTTACTCCCTTGGACACCTTACGGAGTTGTTCTACTCCGTCCTATCTCGCCGCTGCGAGTTAGATCAGCAGTGAATTTGACTTTGGTTTATAAAGGTTACACACATCCTTGCTTTTATTCTCGTATGACTGTCTGTGTACATATATGAGGACGGATTTAAAAAGTATTGTTATAAAATCATAGCTCAAAATGTGAAGCTGTTGTTTCCCGACGGATCCTCCACCAGGTCTGTCCGCTTCTGGAGGTGGTCTGTCCATTTCTCTCACCCTTCCCGGAAGCACGCTACCCTATCACCAGGGCAGTTTTGGTGTCCTGGGCTGACAGAAATCCTGTGTCGTTAAGTGCTCTTTGTATCTGGGGAATAGAAAAGACGTCGGGAGGGGCTGGGGCTGGGTGGGATTTTCCGATGTAATTCTCATAGCACAGCCCTTGTGCTCCTCGAGAAATGCACTGGTCTACTGTCGTGATGGGAAAAACCTCCTTGGCACAACTTACCTGGCCTTTTCCCCACCAGTCAGTTTCCTGTTTTCTTATGTCTTCCTAATAAGCCCCTGTGGTTGTCCTGTGTCCTTTGAGAAAAATCTACCATGCAGACCCCGTTGGGTCACCATAACCTCTGAATTGACGTTTCTGCCTTTGAACCCAACTGGTCCAGCACGTCCGGGGGCAGCCACTGTTTGCTGGAACCTGGTTGGACTTTGCCTCGTGTGCATCCACGAGTGCTGTGCTGCCACACACATTCTGGGGTGGGATTTCCTATTGTTGCAGAATCGTGTTTGCTCTGTTGCCGGCACCGTACATGTCTCCTCTTCTCATGTTCTCGGCAGCTTCCCTCTCCTTCGTCGGGTCGTGTTGACGTCACCCGTATATGGTCTTGTCCTTCCCATCACCTAAGTAACGAGTATTTACCATCTAGTAAGCGATTCCCCATCCCTCTCCCTCCTTTCCCTGGTAACCACCGAAGCACCTTGCTTTCTGTGCCGATACGACGCTGGATGTTTTTTAATAGCGGGACCATCTCGTATTCATCTTTTTGTGATTGACTTACTCACTTAACATCATACCTTCTCTCAAATCCTCCATGGTAGGCAATATTTTGTGGACTTTACTCTTCAGAGTCCTGCAGTTTTCCATTGGATGTGGCTACCGGAGCGTGTTGATCCATCCATCCATGCATCCATCCATGCATCCATCCATCCATCCGTTGATGGGCACTGGCTAGGTTTTCTTCTTTTTTGCATTAACGCTTCTTTAATTGCTTCTTTATCAAGAGAAACAATTCCTATCCCACACAATCATGCCTCATAGTTCGGGAGCAATGACCAGTGACAATTTCCATAGAAGTCAATCCAAAGAAATTCCTGGCATTCCCAAATTACTTCACACTCTAAGACCAGCTTTCCCCATCTCTTCAAAAAATCCTTCGTGGGATAGTTTCTGGGGGCATCTGCGTAAGTCTTTCTTGGTTCAGCCGCTGCGACCCCCAGAGCTATAAGGAGGGCCCCAACAGTACGGGTTCCCAGTTGCTTGGCCAGAAGTCCTGGTGGCAGGTTGCGCCCAAGCCCCCAAAGATGAGTTCCCTCTCCCTCAGGATCAGCGGTCCCTCCTAACTGATGGAGAAGACCCGTCATCACAGATCCATAAGGTTTTCAATGGGTTGATTTGGGTTTGTGCAAACGGTTTTAAGTTTATAGTACTAATGGGAGTTTTTCTTATTTTCCAATTATGTACATAAGTAAGCTATGTGTTTAATTCCAAACAATGAAGGGAGTTCCAGAGCTTCTGTGTGTGTATTTGTGTGTGTGCATTCTGATGTTGGTCTGAGCCCCCACGACCAGCAGCTCATTCTCTGACGGCTTTTGAGGTCTGACCAAGAAGTCATAATGTTGTCTCCTGTATGCCCCACCACGTTCAGGGTAATATCTGCAGCAAAGGAAAACACACATCCAGATATCCTGGCTGTATTCGTGAATATGCTCCGTTCTCCCTCTCACCCGTGTGGCCCCCGTGTCTCTGGACCACAGAGACCATCAAGACGTGCCTGAAGTTGTCAAAGAGTGCCATCTTAGATCCACAATCAAGTCTGATCGATGCCACCGTTAAGAAATCCACCGACGGTGCTGCATTGGGCACAGCCGCCACCCACGACTTCTTCAAGAGTGTTGAAGAGCAGGGTGTGCCTTTGACCACTAAGGTGTTCCTGGTCCAAGCCAGGGTTCTTGTCGTCGTATCATACGCATGGACACGGCGTAAAGAAGACCGGAGGCGGTCGAGACACTATCCACTGTACTCTGGACCTCCAGCAGGACTCGCAAATCCGCGTGGGGAGAAATGCAGCCGGACTGCTGCTCGGAAGTCCTGATGGCCTTTGGACGTGGATGTAGGAGACTGGCCCTGGAGAAGGATGGCTTCCTTGGTGAAGTGCGGACCATCGTCGTCGAGAGTCACGGGGGCTGCAACCGTGGGTCCAGACAGCCGCGCCGTGAGGGTGGCGCAGGGCTGGGTTGTGGCTTGGCTCTTTGTACACGGGATTGCTATGTGTCGGAACCCAATTTGGTAGCACCAGACAATTCCTAGACCACGGTTGGTGCCGGCTTCCGTGTTGAACAGTGTTGACTGTGTTGCGGTTGTAAACCTCTCAGCAATTGGGCTTTTTCAATGTTTCATCCCCAGACCTTTTCCCTGAGGCCGCCGCGGGCAGACTCTTTACCTGCCAACCTTCCATTGGTCCATGAGCACGTTGCCCACTTACCCGCCCGAGGGCTCCTACCAGGCACAGACCCAAACCTGTTGCCATTGACCCTCTAGGAGAGTGTGGGACTGCCCCATGGGGCTCTAAGGCTGTCCTCTGTATGGGTGCCCACTGCCATTGCTTTGTCCCGTTGAGTGGACCCACTGCGCCAGTCTGGCTCCTCGCCAGGCACCTGGCAGCTGCCTGATAGACACTGGCTGAAGCAGTTGCTGAGTGGCCACACACGTTGTTGTTGTGTGTCACTGAGTGGGCTCCAGCCCACAGCGACCCCGTGGGCAACAGCAAAGCCCTGCCAGGCCTGCGCCAGCCTCACAGGGGTACTGGCGTTGGAGCCCGTTGTCGGAGCCACTGTCAATGCAGCCTCTCGAGGGTCTCTTTATTCTGGCTGCCCCTCTGCTTTCCCAAGCATGACATCCTCATCTAGGGACTGGTCTTTCCCGACCACATGACTGCAGGACCCGAGACAAGAGTCTCACCAGACTTGCTTCCAAGAGCATTCTGGTGGTTCTCTGTTCAAGACAGACGCGTGGCGTCTTCTTCTCCAGCGCCACCGTGCACATGCATCCACTCGGTGGTCGTCTTCCGTGGTCCCTGTCCACGTCCACACGCATCGAGGTGAATGAAAACACCGTGACTTGGGTCAGAGGCACCGTAGTCCGCACAGCTACCTCCTGCTTTTCAGTACTCTGAAAGAGAGAGGGCTTGTGTAGCACGTGTGTCCAGCACCGTGGTAGAGCCTTTCAGCTCTGAACTCTGGACAGTGTAGTGGGTTGCCTCACGTATAATCTGTGCTTAGGGCATCTGGCACATAATAAATGTACAGTGGAGATAAGCTCAATGGATGAGGAGGAGATGTTTTTTCTATGACCATTTCAGAAGAGGCAGTTGGTCTCTGAGATTCGTGGGAGTGGAGGGAGGCCAGTGAGACTGGGTTCCTGGGGCCAGGTGGCAATTGAGGTGAGCCAGCCCCTGCCTCACACCCTTCCTCTCCCTGCCAGGCGGCCCTGGGCGCCCTGGGCCGGGCCCTGAGCCCCCTGGAGGAGAGGCTCCGGCTGCACACGTACCTGGCTGGGGAAGCCCCCACGCTGGCGGACCTGGCGGCCGTCACAGCCTTGCTGCTGCCTTTCCGATACGTGAGTCCGTGGGGGGCCTGGGGAGGCATGCAGGCAGCTCCCCTCAGACTCCATTGGAGGGTGAAGAAAGAGTGACTCTTTTCTCCCCCCACCCCAGGTCCTGGACCCCTCAGCCCGTTGGATCTGGGGTAACGTGACTCGCTGGTTTATCACGTGCGTCCATCAACCTGAATTCCGAGCCGTGCTGGGAGAAGTGGCTCTGTGCTCAGGGGCCAAGCCCCTCTCCCAACAGCCAGGTGAGCAGGGGTGGGGTTCTCTGGCGCCTCCCAGGCAGCTCACTTCTTTCTGGGGACTGGCCAAAGCTCTGGGGCCAGGTGGGAGGGAGAGGTGGGAGGATAAGCACAGCGGAGCCCTCAGGCCGCAGGGTCCCCAAGCACGCCTCCTGCTCAGACTGCATTTCTAGGGCCCGCTCCAGGCCCCGAGGCCACTGCACCTCCTAAGACCGCTGCTCAGCTCAAGAAAGAGGCAAAGAAACGGGAGAAGCTGGAGAAATTCCAGCAGAAGCAGAGGACCCAGCAGCAGCAGCAGCAGGCCCCTTCGGGGGAGGTGGGAGCCCAGGGCGCTGCTGGTGGGAGGTGGGGGGAGTTGGCTGGGGGGCTGGCGGATGGCTAGGCCTTTCTTTGTCTTCTCAGAAGAAAGCTAAACCAGAGAAGAAGGAGAAACGGGACCTTGGGATCCTTACCTATGACATCCCAACTCCACCTGGGGAAAAGAAAGGTGCTGGCTTGGGAAAGGGGCGCTTACCTTTCCCATCCACCCTCCCAAGCTTCTGCCCCTTGTTGCTTCGTCCCTCCCACTGCTTTGCATGGTGAGGTGGCAGACCCCCAACACGGCCTGGTGGTGTGACTGGGTGAACGCCAGCGCTCCCCACCGCCTCGTCACCGTCACCGACGGCGCCTCCCCTCTCCCCCAGATGTCAGCGGCACCATGCCCGACTCCTACAGTCCTCGGTATGTGGAGGCCGCCTGGTACCCTTGGTGGGAGCAGCAGGGCTTCTTCAAGCCGGAGTACGGGGTAAGGGGGCGCTGCCACCCAGGCCCAGAGGGTGGGCGCTGGGACGAGGTGACCTGAGGCTCCAGGGTGGTCTCTGCTCCCGTGCCTCAGCGTTCCAGCGTGTCCGCTCCAAACCCCCACGGCGTCTTCATGATGTGCATCCCGCCCCCCAACGTGACGGGCTCCCTGCACTTGGGCCATGCGCTCACCAACGCCATCCAGGACTCGCTGACCCGATGGTGAGCCGCTGCCCCCCCCCCCTTCTCCTCCGTCGTGGTGCGTGGGCCGCTTGGGGACGAGGAGTCGGTCTGTGGGCTGCGCAGCCCATCTACTCCTCTTCCTCCGAGTCTTCTCACGCTCACATCGACTCACCACCCCGCCCAACCTTCCGAATCGCTGTTTGCCACTTGATCCCGTAGAGGTAGGACTCAAAAGACAGGCACTCTTTTTCGGTTTTGTTTTTAACTTTTTCCATGGTGAATTAGGTGAGGGTTCACATTTCAGATTCATCAGTATTGCAGTGAACAATTTAAGCTACTCCCCAAACTCCTTTGAGTGGAAAGGCCTCTGACCACGTGGCTATATCTGTTAGTATAATGTTATCCTTGAGATTCCTCTACCACCTCTTAATAGTCTGCCCTCGCCTCCCCCATCCCTTTTCTCTTCTCCCTCCTTGGGAATGTTGTCTCCCCTTCACCCAAGTTAGCCCCTCTCTGCCTTCTAGCCAACTGTCTTTGAATAATGTCTGCACGTTGGCCCCTGAGAATAAGATCAGCAAATTATACGCCACAGCATTGTGATTAAAAAAAACAGCAAACCCAGCCCAGACCATTCTAAATGTGGTTTATTGCTATTGTAATACGTCCTCAGCCGGGGACTAACTGTATAAAATTTTTGATCAAGTTTTTGAAAATGATAACCAGGCACTGTCTCATGGGAAAGGAGGCAGGTGGCTCATAGAAACAGTTAGTCACAAATTTCATTTTCTACTCTGCTCCTGACTTCCCTCCCTCTGAGTTAGGAGGTGTGGCATGAGGAGGGTGGCCAGCCTCCCCCCACTAATCACGGGTTCAGTAAGCACAATTGTACGGCTGAGATACATAAAGATTATATTAAAGTCATCGGGAGCATGAGAGATAGAAGAGAGATTGGAATAATGGAGTCAGACACATTTCATGGTAGCATGCTCACCTCCGGGATGGCCATGATCTTACCAGCCAGGTCTGCGCACGGCATGGGTCGAGGGGAGGTGGGGCAGGGACCGGGCAGGAGGCTCGAGTACCCGGCAGGTGGTTGGAGGACCCAGTTAATTGCTAACCCAGGGTTATATCTACTTAGGGGGGTGTGATTACAGGTCACCATACACATCATAGGAAGGGGATGAGCTAGGGCTGTACACATGATAGGAAGGGGAGGGACTAGGGGTATACATGTGACAAGAAGGGCAAACCCTAGATTCATGATGGCGGCCTAACCTTGGTCACCCTTGGGTGGGTTTGACCTCTCTGGTGTCTCCTACAAGGAAACAGACAACTATCCTTATCAGAAGGGAGTGGGGCCTACTTGTTGTGGGATAAACAGTGGTGACTGCTTGCTCTAGACAGCTGATAGCTCTTAGGGAGAATAACCCTGATCTACTCCTGATGACCTCCAAGTGTACAGTCATTCGCAAGCAGCTGTTTGGCATATGTTTGGGGGAGACAACTTGGGAGAAATCCTTCCGTTTCCCACAAGGAGGTAGAACAGAAGCACTGAATCCATGGTGAGACCAATTAACCAGGATGCCCCTGACACCAGGACCTTACACCTCCAAACCGAGAAACCAGGTTGAACATGCGCGATCTCAGCAGGAAAGGGCCCTGTGTTGTACAGGCGACTACAGGCTCAGCAGCTGTACTCTTCTGGTTTTTTTGGTTGGGGGCAGAGGGGTGGTCACTACGGTAAATAAGACCCGAGCCCTGGTGGTGGTGGTGTTATGCATTGGTCTGCTAACTACAAGGTCAGCCATTTGAACCACCGGCTGCTCCCCAGCAGAAAGGCCAGGCTTTCTACCCCGCTAAGAGCTCCAGTCTAGGAAGCCCAGGGAGGCAGTGCTTCCATCCCACCGGGTCGCTGTGAGTCGACATCCACAGGAGGGCACTGTAAATCTCTCTCTCTCTCTCTCTCTCTCTCTCTCTCTCTCACCTTTTGTCAGTTGAACTTGGTTCAGGTGTAGAGTTGACTGACAGTTACATGGATGTGACCTTTATTGGCCCTCAGCTCTGCCCCCTAGTGGGGCTACTCGTTTCTTTCTTGGTTATTAATCTCCCTTCAAAGAGTTCCTAGAAAAATGGATTGGGTATGCCTATTGTACTGCCCCTTCCTGTGACACGTGGTTACCTCTAATCATGCCCCCTAAAGAGATAAATGTTTGGTGAGCAATAAAGAAAAGGCTCTCCCGGTCCTCGTCCCCGGGGGCCCTCCTGCTCTCACGGCCGGGCTCCCCCAACGAGGAGGACCACCAAACGGGGCTGAGGTGAGCATGCTACCAGAAAAAAAGAAAAGAAAAATGGATTCGGAAGATAAGGGGTTTGTCCTCTAACTGCCCCTCACAGTATGCCCCCCCCCCCCACTTTGGACTCTTTCTTTCCTTTGGACTTTAATAACACATTTTTGGGGGGGGGCGGGGGTTATTTATTTATTTTGGGTCATGCTTTTTTCAAAAACTTATTTAACCATTGTATTGGGGGCTCATACAACTCTTATCACAATCCACGTATCCATCCATTGTGTCAAGCACATTTGTACATTTGTTGCCATCATGATTCTCAAAACATTTGCTTTCTCCTTGAGCCCTTGGTATCAGCGCCTCATTTTCCCCCTCCCTCCCTGCTCCCCCTTCCTTCATGAACCCTTGATAATTCATAAGTTATTATTATTTTGCCATATCTTATACTGTCTCCGACGTGTCCCTTCACCCATTTTTCTGTTGTCCGCCCCCCAGGAAGGGGGTTATATGTAGATCCTTGTGATCGCTTCCCCCTTTCCACCCCACCTTCCCTCCGCAATAAGGAACATTGTGATGCATTCTAAGACACTTGCGTCTGAAGTCCCCCTGACAGCTGTCTCGCTGCTGTAACGAGAGCAGGCGGCTGCAGCGCGGTTCTCCTCCCTCTGGCGGGCCTGTGCTACAGAATACAGCGTAGTCGACTAGCAGCGACTCTCTGACAGAGGAAAACCGTCTGGCCGGGCTTCTTAGGCTGTAACCTCCATGGGAGCAGATTACCCACCAGCCGCTCGCCTTTTGGTGCTAGGCCTCCCTGGCTGAGCTGAGTCTCTGGCTCTGCCTGGGGGTGAGCCTGGCCTTCCACCTGCCTCCCCTAGGCACCGAATGCGCGGGGAGACCACCCTGTGGAACCCTGGCTGTGACCACGCAGGCATTGCCACCCAGGTGGTGGTGGAAAAGAAGCTGTGGCGTGAACAGGGGCTGAGCCGGCACCAGCTGGGCCGCGAGGCCTTTCTGCGGGAGGTCTGGAAGTGGAAGGAGGAGTGAGTATGCAGCACGGTTGTCCCGGGCCTCCTTTCTGCAGGGGCTGAGGGCCAGCTGGCGCCCAGGTCCCGGTCACTCAAAGGTGTCAGCAATCTTCACATTGCCCCCTTCAGCCCCCAGTGACCCCCTCCAGCCCAGGCCTGAGAGCCGACCCTGGCCTGTCTGTCCTCTCCCAGGAAAGGGGACCGGATTTACCACCAGCTGAAAAAGCTCGGCAGCTCCTTGGATTGGGATCGAGCTTGTTTCACCATGGACCCTGTGAGTGGAACGAGTCTCAGGGCTGGGTCAGCGGAAGTGGACAGAAGCCACCCCAGGGGCCATGGAGAGACTCCTCTCCCCTCCTTTCCATGGCCCGTTTCCTGCGCTCCCATGATCCTCTGCCCCAGCACTCAGCCTCCTGTCCCTGCCCTTGTGCCTGGTCATCTTCTTTCTCCATGTAAAGGACTCCCCCCTTCCAGCCCACCGCGCCTGTGTGCCGGGAGGTGGCGCTTGCGCCCTCCTGGGTGTCTGCACTCTGCGGCCTTGGCGTGTCTGTTTGGCCCCCTGGGCACCAAGCTCCCTCTCTGACTCCTCGCTCCCCCAGAAACTCTCAACGGCGGTGACAGAGGCCTTTGTCCGGCTCCACGAGGAGGGGGTCATTTACCGCAGCACCCGCCTTGTCAACTGGTCCTGCACCCTCAACTCCGCCATCTCCGACATTGAGGTCTGCCCCTGCCCCTGCCCCGCCAGGCCCTCTCCCTCTGCCCAGCCCAGCCCCTCGACGCCTCTCGACACCTGCCTCACAGGTCGATAAGAAGGAGCTGCCAGGCCGCACCCTGCTCTCCGTCCCAGGCTACAAGGAGAAGGTGGAGTTTGGGGTCCTTGTCTCCTTTGCCTACAAGATCCAAGGCTCAGGTGGGATCCCGAGCTGCATGGGGGTGGGGTGGGGTGGGGTGGGGCGGGGGCAGCCAGGATGGGTTCCACAGGACCATTTGTCCCCCAGAAAGCGATGAGGAGGTGGTAGTGGCAACAACGCGGATCGAGACGATGCTGGGTGACGTGGCCATAGCCGTGCATCCCAAAGACCCCAGATACCAGGTGGGCGGGACTCAGCCCATAGGTGGGGGGTGGGGTGGGGTGGGGTGGGAGCAGAAGCCTCAGCCGTGCCACCCTGAAGGTGTTCCCCTGCTCTGGTGGGATGGAGCCGGGCCGGGAGGTGGGCACGGGCAGAGCCTGTCCTGCAAGTGTCCCCAAATGACTAGCAGATGTGCTAGCCAGAGCCGCGTTGTGGTGTCACCGGAGCGGAGCTGGGAGCGCAGTGTTCTGAACGCGGGGTCGGGTGCAGCGGGTTTACTTCTCATGGTTCCGTGCGTGAAGCCACTCTGCTTGTGCAGCTGACCGTGCAGATGGAAGGGACGCCGGGGTAGCGTGCCGGGTTCGGGGTTCCAGGGACGTTCTCCACCTCGGCTGCTTCCGGCAGGCGAATCCAGGAGGTGCTCGTGCAGCACCCGCCCTGGCTTTGGCAGTGCCAGGGTGGCACTTGAAGGGGCTCTCAGACACTGGTGTCTTTGCAGCGGGGACTTTTCCACCTGTTTTCTTAGCCACCAGGGCTCTCCCAGCAGTCATGGGTGCTTAGAATAGTGTCAGTTGCAAACCTCTTAGCTTAGCAAGCAGACTGGTTCTCTGGTTTGCCATCGGGACCTCCTCGTACCCTGGGAACCAGCCCACCGTAGTTTCCAGGGGCCCGGGCTTCAGGCGTTTGACCCCATTCGTATCACTGGAACCGGAACCGCGCCACCGCATCTGGCTTGGTCTCCCTGCACAGCCAGCACGCCCCAAACACGCGCCGAGCTTCTCAGAACCTTTTCAGTGCAGTGTTTGTGGTAAAATTAGGTGCATTGGCTGATATTCGAGTATATACGGTATCTCGCTTCCACAACAGCCGGTGCGAGGGTCGTTGCGTCCTGGGTCTCGCTAAGCGTGAGGGGTGACCCCTGGGTTGCCAGGCAGCCTCCCGGAGCCTTCCTTGCCATGTCGTGCTCCAGTGGGCTTCCGGGCGCCTTGTGGCATTTCAGCCACCACGTGGAGCGCCCCGTATCTGCATGAGTCGGGATGGCACATGCTAGAGATACGTCTCGTCCTTTCCCACGTTTGAGGAGGACCGGGGTGAAGGGCGGCTCGGCTCCTCGCTCTCGGAGCCGCTCGGTGCGTGCTGCAGGTGAGCCCCGGCTGCGCAGAGCTGCTGGCACAACCCTGTGTCTCCCCGCTCTAGCACTTGAAGGGGAAGCACGCCGTCCACCCGTTCCTGCCGCGGAGCCTCCCCATCGTCTTCGACGACTTTGTGGACATGGAGTTCGGCACAGGTCAGCCAGGGTTGGGTCCAGGGCAGGCCCCACGAGACAAGCCCCCCCACCCCCCCCAGCTGCCCACGGGCTGTCTGAAAGGAGAAGAGTCAGCTCGGGCTGGCCTTGGGCTGTGGTTCTGGGCATCCATTCGGGAAACAGGGGTCCAGAGCCCCGCCTTTGGCCCAAGACCCCACCTGCCCCCAGGCGCGGTGAAGATCACCCCTGCGCACGACCAGAACGACTACGAGGTGGGGCAGCGGCACGGCTTGGAGGCCATCAGCATCATGGACGCCCGCGGGGCGCTGGTGAACGTGCCCCCTCCTTTCCTGGTGAGGCCGCGGGGCCTGGGCCTGGAACGGGGAGGGGGCAGGGTGTCTGGAAATGGCCCTGACCATCCCTCCCCCTCGGCCAGGGCCTGCCCAGGTTTGAGGCCCGGAAGGCCGTGCTGGCGGCCTTGAAGGAGCAAGGACTGTTCCGGGACGTGAAGGACAACCCCATGGTGGTGCCGCTGTGCAAGTGAGGGGGGTCCTGGGCAGGGCAGCGGGGAGGGAGGGAGGGAGAGAGAGACTTGTCCGGTGCTGACCATCCCCCACGGCCCCCAGCCGTTCCAAGGACGTGGTGGAGCCGCTGTTGCGGCCACAGTGGTACGTGCGCTGCGGGGAGATGGCGCGGGCCGCCAGCGCTGCTGTGCGGCGGGGCGACCTCCGCATCGTGCCCGAAGCCCACGAGCGGACGTGGCACGCATGGATGGACAACATCCGGTGCGTAGGGCCTGCAGTGGGAGCTCCTGGGGGCAAGGCTGAGCAGGGCCTTAGCCGGGGCACCTTCTTGCCTTCCCTGACCCCTGCCCTCCCCGGCCCCATCCGCAGGGACTGGTGCATTTCCCGACAGCTGTGGTGGGGCCATCGCATCCCAGCCTACTTCGTCACCGTCAGCGACCCCGCTGTGCCCCCCGGGGAGGTGAGGCCAGGCCGTTGGGGCTGTGCTGGGCGCTGGGTCGGGGTGAGGCTGAGCAGCCCCAGTTGCTCATTGCATCCTGGCAGGACTCCGATGAGCAATACTGGGTCAGCGCGGCCAGCGAGGCCGAGGCCCGGGGAAAAGCAGCCCAGAAGTTTGGAGTGGCTCCAGACAAGATCAGCCTCCAGCAAGGCAAGGCCTGCCCCAGTGGCGGGGGCAGGGCCGGGCACTAGTCCTCCCTCTGCCCCTCTGACCTCTGGCCTCTGGCCCCCTTCAGATGAGGATGTGCTGGACACCTGGTTCTCCTCCGGCATCTTCCCTTTCTCCATCCTGGGCTGGCCCAGCCAGGTGAGTTCTTGGGGTCGGGCAAGGGTGGAGTGGGGGCCTTAGAGGTGGGTGCTTGGCTTGCTCCTCAGCACCCCTTTCTCTGCCCTCAGTCGGAAGACCTAAGTGTGTTCTACCCGGGGACATTGCTGGAGACGGGCCATGACATCTTGTTCTTTTGGGTGGCCCGGATGGTCATGCTTGGCTTGAAGCTCACAGGCAGGCTGCCTTTCTATGAGGTGTGCGGACTGCCCAGACCCCTCCCACAGCGCAGCATGGGGGGCCGAGGGCAGAGCTGGGGGGCCTGTGAGGAGGGCTGAGGGGCATTCAGGCGCACAGGCCTTCTCTCACCTGCCCTCCCGTAGGTCTACCTGCATGCCATCGTCCGAGATGCCCACGGCCGGAAGATGAGCAAGTCTCTGGGCAACGTCATTGACCCCCTGGACGTCATCCATGGGGTCTCCCTGCAGGTGGGGCTGGGGGTGAGGCTTGGCCAGGGAGGGGCTGGGGGCTGTCGCCATGGCTACCTCACACCCCTCCCCTACAGGGCCTCCATGACCAGCTCCTGCACAGTAACCTGGACCCCAGTGAGGTGGAGAAGGCTAGAGAAGGGCAGGTAAGGCCAGTGGGCCTCTGTGCCACTGTTGGTGTGCTTCCCACCTGCCGAGGCACGGCCAACCCCGAGAGCCTACACGTGGGCAGACCTGTGTCCTGGCACCACGCAACGGCTTGGGAGGGTGGTGCCAGCAGGCAGAGAGCGGGTCAGACAGAGACAGGCGTGTCGGGCACAGTGGGGCACACACACGTTCCCCGCACGGTGAAGGAACAGAGTCACAGAAGTGCACAGTGAAAGGACATGCATCAAGATGCGGGTCTTCATGTGGAGGGGGGCTGGCTGAGGATGCCCCACCCCTGTGTCCTGTCCCTGCAGAAGGCGGACTTCCCGGCGGGGATCCCGGAGTGTGGCACTGACGCCCTCCGGTTTGGGCTCTGCGCCTACACCTCCCAGGGTACGGCCCCCACGGCGTCTCCCCTGACCCCTCTTGCCTCCCTGCTGGGGAGGTGCCCTTCCCTGACCCTTGGCGGGAGGTGGGAGGAAATGTGGTGCGGAGCCCCCCTCCCCCCCACGCAGGCCGGGACATCAACCTGGACGTGAACCGGATCCTGGGCTACCGGCACTTCTGCAACAAGCTGTGGAACGCCGCCAGGTTCGCCCTTCGCGGGCTCGGCAACGCCTTCGTGCCCTTGCCCTCCTCCCAGGTGAGGCCTGGGGTGGGGCTGCGTCCCTACCCTCCGGGTCAAGCCCGTCTTGGGCCAGCACCACAGACGGGTGGTAGAAGCCTTGCTCTGTGGGGGCGAGAGGAACACGGGCCAGACGAGTTCAGGGAGAGCCGTGGCATCAGCGCGCTTTCGGGGGTCGCGGGGTCTGTCCCTCCCCCCCAGACACTGGGCATAAGCTTGGGTTTAGATCCCGTCTGGCTCCTGAACGCGAAGCAGCCCGTGGTTCCAGCCCCGTGGGTGAGGGGCCCCAGGGTCCGGCTCCTGGCATAAGGGGCTTCCTGGTTGCTATGTCCCCGCAGCCTGGAGGCCACGAGAGCTTGGTGGACCGCTGGATCCGCAGCCGGCTCTCTGAAGCCGTGAGGCTCAGCAACCAAGGCTTCCAGGCCTACGATTTCCCGGCCGTCACCAGCGCCCAGTACAGCTTCTGGCTGTACGAGCTCTGCGATGTCTACCTGGTGAGGAGCAGCGTTGGAGGGGGGACCGAGGGACAAGCAAAGCTGGGCCGGGAGACAGACCGCCCTCCAGCCCTGACCCCTGTCCCACGCCGCCCCCCAGGAGTGCCTGAAGCCCGTGCTGAATGGTGCAGACGAGGTGGCCGCCGAATGTTCCCGGCAGACCCTCTACACCTGCCTCGACGTCGGCCTGCGGCTGCTCTCCCCCTTCATGCCCTTCGTGACCGAGGAGCTGTACCAGAGACTGCCCCGGCGGGCACCACACACGCCCCCCAGCCTCTGTGTCACCCCCTACCCAGACTCCTCCGAGGTGTGTGTGTGTGTGTTGGTGGGGGGGTGGCAGCGCTGGCCTTTCCTTCCAGCCTATCTCACCCCTACCTCTGCCCCACAGTGCTCTTGGAAGGACCCGGAGGCAGAGGCCGCCCTGGAGCTGGCTCTCAGCATCACTCGGGCAGTGCGCTCCCTGCGCGCCGACTACAACCTCACCCGCGCCCGGCCTGACTGTGAGCCCACCCCCTCCTCGCTTGGGCCGCCTGGTATCAGGCCATGGCTGCAAAGGGACCAGGCCTCACCTCCTCCCTCTCCTGGCAGGTTTCCTGGAAGTCGCCGACGAGGCCACGGGGGCCCAGGCCTCCGCCGTGTCTCCCTACGTGCACACGCTGGCCAGCGCTGGAGTGGTGGCCGTCCTGGCCCTGGGGGCGTCTGCACCGCTCGGCTGCGCCGTGGCCCTGGCCTCTGAGCGCTGTTCTGTCCACCTGCATCTGCAGGGGCTGGTGGACCCGGCCCGCGAGCTGAGCAAGCTGCAGGCCAAGCGTGGGGAGGCACAGCGGCAAGCCCGGCGTCTGCAGGAGCGCCAGGCCGCCCCCGGCTACTCCGCCAAGGTGCCCCAGGAAGTCCAGGAGGCAGACACGGCCAAGGTGGGCAAGAGGGCTGGGGATCCCGGCCTCCCTGGCCCTCAGCTCCTCCGTCATTCAGTCTGGGCCAGCCTCTTCCCACCCTGAGGAAGTCTGGGGAGCGGGGGTACAGAGGGCCCCGGCCTAGGATGTGAGTCTGTGAGGGGACTCGAACTCCTTCCTCTTCCGTGAGGGAGGCACAGCCGAGGGTCAGTGCAGTCGGTGGGAGTTGCAGGCAGACCTCGAACCCGGTATCCTGCCCTGAACATGGACTCAGAGCCTGGGGCTGGGCCAGGACCTCCTATGTGGGCAAGGAGCCCCAGGCCTAACTCCTGTTCAGCAGTGCCTCCAGGCCACTCTAGGAGGAGCAGCGGGTCCCGGCACACAGGGTCAGAGTGGGGAATGGGGCTTCCCACTCTGGGGCTCCTCATCTCCGCCGACAAATGGTGGTCTAGGGACCTGTGCCCTGACCACCGTGCACACTGCCCAGGTGGGGGCACCAAGGCCTGGTGTGTTGGTCTGGGTAGACTAGAAAAACAAATTCATAGACACTTACATGTATGTAACAACTTTAGATATAAGAGCAGCTGGATATTGAGAAAACATCACAGCCCGGTCCAGGTCAAGTCCAGAAGTCTGACATTAGGCAACAGCACTGGCAGGATGTCTCCAGTGGCTCTTTTAGCTCCAGGGCTCTAGCATAGGTCCATGTGTCTTATCAACCGCAATGTCTCTCGGGGGGTAAGCCTGTGTCCAGCCTCCAGTGAGCTATTTATCTCCTAAGCGCCTCCAAATGAGGTCATCAAGCTGCGACCTGATCGACAGGCTGAACTCCACCCCTTCACTCTTAAATCTCAAATTGACAGCAGATTAAGTAACTACTACACATGGCCCCTTGGTGGGACCAAGGGCTCTGAGGCTGAGCTGCCCTTGGGAACAGACCACTCCAGGAACAGACCACTGCAGGCCTTGGTCAGGATGGAAGAGGAGGTGGAAAGGGCTGGTGGGAGTTTGGGGCTGGTTGGGGGCATGGCCAGCCAAGTTCTCACGCTCCTTCACTGCCCTTCCCATGGTCCTCACCCATCTTTGTGGAGTGGCCTCTCTGTCCGGGGCTTGGGGCCTGACACCCCCCTTCACCCCCAGCTCCAGCAGACAGAAGCAGAGCTCAGGAAGGTGGGCGAGGCCATCGCACTGTTTGAGAAGATGCTGTGACCCTCCGTTCCTTCCCTCACGGCCCGGCAGCCCCCATGGGGCTGCAGCAATAAACTTATTTTGCCACAAAAACCATTCCCGCCTGCGTGTGTTGTGTGTGTGTGTTGGCGGGGTGGGGCTGGGGCGGGGTGGTGTGTGCAGCAGCAGGTCTGCAGCCTAGGACTAACACCCGAGCCTGGTGGCGTGGGGTGGGGGGGGTGTCTGTCTGGGTCCGTCCTTGGCACCGTGCCAGGCCTGAGTCACTGCTCTAGCTCCCTCCCCCCTCCCTGCTTCTCTCCACTCACCTCCGCACTGCGTACAGCCAGGCCCGCCCCTGGCTCCACGGCCACTGGCCTTCGGCGGGCATGAATGGAGGGTCTAGGAGCTGCCCGCCCGGGCCCGGGCCTACTTGGTCCTCCCTCCCCCTGCACTGAGTCCCGGTTAATTATAACTCTGCCCTAAGTGCCCTGTGATGCCACGCCCCGGCCAGCCGTGCCCAGGAGACCAAGCTGCCAGGTAGGGGAGAGGCCTGAGAGCAAAGACATGCTTCCGGTTTGTGTGGGTGTCCCTGCAGCAGGGCTGGGCACCCAGCGTGAGGGTGGTGGGCTAGGGAAAGAAAGAGTCTTGGTCCCCTTGGCAGGTGTTGGTCAAGGTGGTCTGGGGGACAGAGGAGGGTGGGAAGCCAGGTAGGAGAGAGGTGGTGTTGGAGGAGGGCCAGGCAGGTGCCTGTTGGGACAACAGTTGGGCCTGGCCTGAGATTACTGTTTGCTCCCCGCTTTGAAAGCCTCTGTCCCCCAGGTCCATGTCTCAGCCATGCGCCCTGCGGAAGCCCCCCCACCCCACCTGGGCCCCGTAGTACTGGTCCTGCTGCAGCTCCTGCTGCCCCCCACGTCTGCCTTCTTCCCCAACATCTGGAGCCTCCTGGCCGCCCCGGGCTCCATCACCCACCAGGACCTGACGGAGGAGGCAGTACTCAACGTCACCCTGCAGCTCTTCCTGGAGCGGCCACCCCCTGGGCGGCCACCCCTGCGTCCGGAGGACTTCCTGGTGAGCTCCCCTCAGGCCCCAGCCTGACCCCCATTTGCTCGGACCTAGGTGTTGGCAGGGGTCTGGTTGCCAAGAGAATCGATGATGTTCTGCCAACGCTTACCACCCAAGCTCTGGGGCGGCTGGGCCTGGGTGCTCCTAGCAAGGCCCAGACGTGCCCCTTCCCTGTGGGGCCCACATGACCCTCGCTCCCCCCAATGCCCAGCACGAGGGCCGGGTGCTGGGGAGGGTAGGCGGTGGTCCACTCTCAGAGGCTTCCCTGGAGCCCTGCTACCCCCTCCCAGGGCCGCACCCTTCTGGCCGATGACCTCTTTGCCGCCTACTTTGGGGCTGGATCTCTCTCCCGGCGCTTCCGAGCCGCTGTCGGCGAGGTGTCTCGTGCCAATGCTGCCCAGGACTTCCTGCCAACTTCCAAGACGGATCCTGATCTGCACTTTGATGCGGAGCGGCTGGTCCAGGGGCGCGCGCGCCTGCTGACAGCACTCAGGGAGACCCTGGCCGCAGCCAGAGCACTCGACCACACGCTGTCCCGCCAGCGCCTGGGGGCTGCCCTTCACGCCTTGCAGGTGAGACCAGAGCTTCAGGTAAAGAGGGGACTTCAGTTTTCTCCCAGATGGAGAACTTCCCGATGGGGCTTGATTGATTTCCCCCTCCTCGCTCTCAGCATGGCAGTGGGCAGCGGGCACAGCAAGGAGGGCTCTGCAGCTAAAGCGAGCAAGGCTGAGAAAGGAAGTTGGCGGGGAGGTGGGGAGGAGCTGCCAGTTGTGTTGGGGCCTTGGGGGTCACTGCCAAGCCTCTGAGTAGGATGGAAAGGAACATGGAGAGTTCCCACCCAGTCAGGCTCAAACGGAATGAATGAACGGACAATGGCGAAGCAGCCATGGAGGGAGGAGGCTCGGGGATCTGACATGAGCTACGGGGACAGGAGGCCTTCTGGATGGGGCGCATGTTGGGCCTAAAGATGTGGGAGCCTCACTTCTCTCCTTCCATCTCTCCCGGACCAGGATTTCTACAGTCACAGCAACTGGGTGGAGCTGGGGAAGGAGCAGCCCCACCCTCGCCTGCTGTGGCCATGGCAAGAGCTGCAGAACCTGGCACAAGGTACAGACAGGAGCCAGGTGGTAGGTGGGAGTCGACTGAGCTATTGCCTCTCTGCCCTGCCAGGTGTCATATGACATATGTAGGCTGTGGCATCCCGTCATCTCTGAAGGGATCTGTAGGTTCCCTTAGCCCCCCACCCCCAGGGCCAAGTCCCCACCGCAGCTTCCTTCAGGCCCTAAGGTCTTGCCCGAGGCAAGGACAGAGCCACACGAGGTCTCACACGTGAATGTGTGTGTCTCTTGTGGCTTCCTGTGGGTCCCAGCCCCCTCTTTCTCCCAGCTGCCCGTCTGCAGCTCACAGAAGGCATAATTCCTCCCATCCAATGGGGATTCCCGAACTTCCCAAACTTTCCAGTGTGGTCAGAGCCTCCTCAGTCTCAAACTTGGAGTTGTACTTCTGAAGAACGAGTCGGTTTATCACGTCACAGGCTCACCTGCTGGTTGCACAGTTCCAGCTGAGAGGAGAAAGCAAACAAGTTCCGAGGGACGGGGAGAAAGGTCAGGGCCCGGGGAATCCTAAGTTCGGGCTCGTTTTCCTTTCTTCTCAGCAAGTGACCCCACCTGCTCTGATTGTGAGCAGTTAAGCTGCCCTGGGAACTTGCTGGACTTCCAGCTCCTCACTTCCGGCTATTTTGGAACGCATCCCCTCAAACCTCCAGGTACCTGACGCGAACGCCCTTCTTTTCTGTCCACCCTTGCCCGCAGGCCCTTGCCCCATTCCCCGCAGGCCGGCACCCCTTTCTGGGAGAAGGAGAGGAATTCCCTCCTCCAGCAGGGAATGAGATGGATGGATGGGGGCACACACCCCACGGTGGGGGCTCTGACCATCGGGGCGAGGGAAGCATCTTGCTCAGCTTTGGGGGACTGACTGGAGGGGACCCCATATGTGCTGCAGTGACTAGCCCCTCCACATTTACTTCACGTTTATCCTCCACAAAAAGTCACCAGGTCCTGCGGCTCCTTTGGGAGAGGTGAGAGAGGAGCAGGCCAGGTCCGAAAGGGCATCCCCATCTCAGGAAGCAGTGGATGGTTGACCTCCACCTCCAGGGGCCCCTCTCTCCACCCAGGGAAATGTAGCCACGGGGGCCATTTTGACCAGAGCAGCTCCCAGACACCCCGGGGAGGCATCAACAAGGACAGCACAGCCCCCGGCTTCTCCCCGCACCACCAGCTGCACCTCCAGGCTGCCAAGCTGGCCCTCCAGGCCTCCATCCAGGTCCTTAGCCTCCTTCGAAGCAGACTAGGGGACAGGAACTTCTCCAGGTGTGTGGCCTTCTGCAGACGGGCTCCCCGGTGGACAGTTGCTCCTTGGACAGCTGAGACCCCAAGAAATGTGTGGACTTTCACCGGGTCTTTCGCCTGCTCCCAGGTTGCTAGACATCACCCCCGCCTCCAGCCTGAGCTTTGTACTGGACACCACGGGCAGTATGGGCGAGGAGATCAATGCTGCCAAAATCCAGGCTCGCAGCATTGCGGAGCAGCGGCGGGGCAGCCCCCTGGAGCCTGCCCACTATGTCCTGGTGCCTTTCCACGACCCAGGTAACCGCGCTCGGGACAGGAGAAGGAGCGCCCAGCGCATGGGTGGATGCCCTCGTGGAGAATGGGCATCACAGCTCTAGTTCTTGAGCAGCATGGGGGAACAAATGGCCCTTTCTTCCGTTATTTTCCCAATGGTAGCATGTTCCAGGAGGCTTGTGACAAATGGGGACTGCGCTCTGGGTGGCGGGTTTTGTGTCTGTGTGTGGCGGTGGTACGCAGGTAACAGAGCACTTCTCCAGCCGTCCGGTGTGCCGTAGCGGTCCATGCAGGAGCCAGGCTTCGCCAGATGGCCTCTGCTTTCTGCGGCTTCTAAGTCAGGGCCGTAGACGGAGCCTGGGAGGCGCACAGGCTGAGGAACCCCCGTTTCTGCTGCGTGCCCCAGATAACCAGTTACATCACATTCAGCCTTGAGTTGGAAGTCCAAAAGACCCCGAATGGGCGGACGAGTCTTACTGTCTATCCGGAGACTGGTCGTTTTAACCTCACTGTGCCTCTGCTCTGTCTTCATAAAAAGGCCAGCACACCAACCTGTCAAGGAACGCAAGGGGCAGAGTGGCTGAGTGCTTGTCTGCGGACAAGAGGGTCAGTGGTTCAAACCCGTGGGAGAAAGATGAGGATTCGCAGCCTTGGGGATCCCCCCAGGGCTGCTCCCCACTGTGCCGTGGAGTTGCCATGGGAAGGACTGACTCAGTGGCACTGGGCTTGATGTGGTTTGGTGTTTGTACTGTATCCTGCCTCTCCGGCTTGAAAGGGCCATCCGCTAACATGCCTACTGGCGTTTCTTTGAGGGCAGCATCGGAGCCTCATTTGTCGATGCGAATCCCACGGTGACTGACCCGTAAGAGGGACCGATGTTTGTTGAAGTCTGAATGATGAATAACTTGGAACTGGACACTCATTATGTGTCCAGGTGCTACTTAACAAAGATTTATAAAATGAGCTCACAGCTTTCCCCATCGTGCTCTGAGGTTATTTTCTCTGATGAGGAAACCGGGGCTTTTATCCCTCCATCCATCCATCCATCCATCCATCCATCCATCCCCAATAAAAGTCCACTGAGGAACACAGGAAATGCTGCCGTATTGTTAAGGGAAGAGTCGTGGGGCCCACCAGCAGCAGCTACCCCCTGCCCTGTACTAACAAGCAAGCACAAGCAGCTGTATAAATATAAGGCAATATTTTTATTCTAATCCTTGTCCACTCCAGGAGCACAGCAGCCTCTCCACTGGGGAGGTGTCCCTGGGTAGGAATGAGACGTGCTTGCTCCTCGGTCATGTCATCCTCTTCCCCACTTAGGCTTTGGACCCGTCTTTACAACCAGTGACCCAGACAGCTTTTGGCAGCAGCTCAACAAGGTCCATGCCCTGGGAGGCGGAGACGAGCCCGAGATGTGTCTGTCAGCCGTGGAGGTCCGGCCCATCTCTTCTCTTCTCAGCCCCTGCCACCAAGAGGAGCTGGAACCTTCTAGCATAGCCCTCCTCCCACCGTCGTCCCTGTTCCCTTCCCTCCCTCCCTCAGGGTTCCCCACTGCCTTCTACCCGGCCCTCCCTTGCTCTCCCCATCTCCCGCCCCTGCCATTGGTAACACCAGCCCTTTCCCTCCCTGCCAGCTGGCCCTGCTGCACACACCGCCGCTCTCGGACATCTTTGTCTTCACGGACGCCTCCCCCAAGGATGCCCTCCTCACCAACCGGGTGGAGTCTCTGACTCAGGAACGACGCTGCCGAGTGAGCGCGGCTGTGGGACATGGGGGCCCCCTTGGCAGCAGCCTCCTACCACGTCACCCACCATCACCACGTGGTGATGGCAGCGCAGTCTCGGCGGGGGGTGAGGAGAAGCAGGCAGCAAATGCCCTGTCATGTTCCCCAATACTTGCAGTAATATGGGAGGGTGTGGGGCCCATTTGAACCTGCTCCAATAAGCCATTTGAAGCACTGGAGGTACAATTATCAAAAACAAACTGTGAAAGGTCCAGAGAGGTGGCTCACTGCTCACTGAAGGTTGGCCGGTCGGAGGGGGGACATTGGCCTCAGAGATCGCATCGCAGCAATCAGTCCTGTAGAGAAACCTTGGGCCCAGGAGTTCCCTCATTCGTGGTGACAGATGGCACTCAGACACAGAACTGGGTTCTCTTTTGACCACAGGTAACGTTCCTAGTGACTGAAGACCCATCAAGGGCTCAGACTCGAGCCCGGCGTGAGGTCCTATCCCCTCGGCGTTTTGAGCCGTATGAGGCCATCGCCTTAGCCTCGGGAGGAGAGGTGATCTTCACCAACGACCGGTACATTCAAGATGTGGCGACCATAGTTGGAGAAAGCATGGCTGACCTGGTGAGTAAGTGCGGGGACCAGAACTGACGAGATGGGTGGGGCTGTACAGATCCCATGGCTGGGCTCCGTTCCAGTCAGCAGGTGGAAAGGGAAGCTCCCTGTGAGGCGCAGGTCTACCCAGCTTGCTCAACCCTTCCTCCATCTTAGCATCGCTCTCTGCACATCTGGGTCTCCAGCACGGGCCAGGGCAGCGACACCTCATCTGTAATCCCGTGACTGTCATACCGTCACCCCAGATCCTATCCTTTCTCCAGGTGTAACTTACCGTCTGTCTACCTTCCTCCTCTGTCCCCACCTCATCCACGTCTTCTCTGCGCCCCGTCTCCCAAGGTCACCCTTCCCTTGGAGCCCCCCATCCTGGCTCCTGGGAGGCTGCTTGCGTTCAGAGTGGATGGGCTGCTACGCAGGATTACGGTCCGGGTCCACGGGGAGTCCGTCAGCAGTTTCTGGATCAGGAATCCCGCAGGTGCCTCCGGGCTCAGGCCTCCAGGGAAAGGGAAGACGGAGGATGGGGAGAGATCGGGCTTCAGAACATGGGTGGGCAATGACGTGAAGAAACGATGGCCTGTTCCTGTGAACTTTGGGAAGCCCCCTCAGAGGAGGAAAGTGGGAGAGGGGCCTTCAGTTCTAGGGGTCGGAGGGAAGCGAGAAAAGGAATCATCTCTTGTGGCCATCTCTTGTCTTCCTCAGGGGTCTCCCAGAGTCAGGAGGAAGGTGAGGGTCCCCTAGGTCACACTCGATGCTTTGGGCAGTTCTGGATAGTGACCATGAACGACCCTCCCCAGGCAGGGACCTGGGAGATCCAAGTCACCGCTGGGGGCATCCCCCGCGTGAGAGTGCAAGGTAAGGAAGGAGGTGCTCTTGGGAAGGGGCAGGGGGCACCGCAGGCCTCGGAGAGCCCTGGCCCTTCCCTCAGACTGCCTCTGCCTCTCCCAGCCCGGACCTCCCTGGACTTCCTCTTCCACTTTGGGATCCCAGTGGAGGATGGGCCCCATCCTGGCCTCTACCCTGTGGCTCAACCAGTCGCAGGTACACCTGTCCCTCTCCTCCCTGGCCTTGTTCATGAATCCTGTCAAAATGTTTTTAAAGCTTTCAGAGTTCCGCTTATGTGTAGTAAAAGGACATTAAGAGCCCGGGGCTGCGGTAGTTAAGTACTCAGATGCTAACTGAAAGATATCAAGTGCTCTGCGAGAGAAAGAGTTGACCATCTTGGAAACCCTAGAGGGGTTTTTCTTCTGTCCTGTAAGGTCAGAGGTCAGAATCCATGGCAAGGGGTCTTTTGAGGGGGTTAAAGTACACTTGACATGTTGGGCTGCTAACCAGAACTCCTTCCTGGTCTTCTCCCATTTAGTAGTTTGAAACCACATGCAAGAGAAGATAGGGCCCCCTTCCCCGAGAAGAATTTATCTCAAAGGATGGCACTGAATCTGCAGCTTTGGGAGAAGGATATATCTGACAGAGCACACAGGAGCAGATGACGGGGGAGGAGGAGAGACTGGAGCACATCCTGGCCCACTAGGCCTTGAGGACGATGACCCCAAATAGAGCAGCCAGTCCACAGAGAGGACCACATGGCCAGCCCCACTATGAGACGTGATGCCCCTCACTGACCCATGGCCCTGCGGGGACAACACCAGTGACACAGTGTGGGAATTGCACCTGATCTGACCCCGCCACGCTGAGGCAAAGCACTGGGGGAGTGCAGCGGAACAGCAGGGGAGGGGAGTAGCGAGAAAGACAGGACTTCCTACTCCTGTAAAGAGTTACAGTCTTGGAAACTCACAGGGCAGTTCTACCCTGCCCTGTAGGGTGCTAAGAATTGGAATTGAGTCGAAGATAGTTGTGTTTTGGGTTACCATCGGTGTACAGCTTTGATGGACTTCATATATACAAGCCCATGTAACCATCACCCATTTCGAGTCCCATTTCATTCCCAGCCCCCCAGGACTCCTATCGGCATCCTCAGAGGCAAGCCCCCTTCTCCATCTCAGCAATAAAACTCACTGCCATCCAGTCAATGCCGACTCGTAGCGACCCTCTAAGTCCCATGAGTGTCTGAGACTGTTACCCTTGCAGTAAACAGCGCGAACTCCGCCACCAGTGCGAGTAATCTTTGCTCCGAAGCCCGTTCATTTGTTCCTGTGTCGCTGATCTAACGCATGCCACCCTTCTGCCCTCCCCTGCCCCAGGTCTCCAGACCCAGCTGCTGGTAGAGGTGACAGGGCCCGGGTCCAGAGCTCTCTCTGGACATCGTGGGCCGCATTTTTCCAGTGTCGCCCTTCGGAGAGTGCCAGAGGGCACTGAGCTGGGCCGGGCACCCTTAGAGCCCACGGGACCCCCGCAGCGAGGTCTCCTAGCGGCGTGGCTTCCGCCCATGCTGCTGTCCGAGCCAGGATCCTTCTCTCTGGAACTGATTGGCCAGGATGGAGCCGGACAGGGGCTGCACAGGGCGGCCCTCCAACCCTGCACTGTGGTCCCGGTGCTTCTGGAGGTGAGAGCCGGGGGAGGGTGTGCTGGGCTGGAACGAGCTGGGCTGCACCCTCTCCTGACTAGCCCACCTCCGCAGCTCAGTGGCCCCCCTGGTTTCCTGACCCCGGGCAGCAAAGCCCCGCTCAGCCTCCATATTGCCAGCTTCTCAGGCCCTCAGGATCTCCATCTCAGGACCTCCGTCAACCCCAGCTTCCCCCTCACCTCTAACCTCTCCAGGTGAAGCCCCCTGAACCCGCCCCACTCCCTTCTGGCCCCACTGGTTGGTCTCCAGGTCTGGGATTCTGGTCCATGCCTTCCCCAAAGGCCCGCCTCTGGCTCCTTCTGATTGGCCCTCAGGTTCCTCATTTGCTGGGCGGGTCTGGCGTGGACAGGTGGTCGTGGGTGTCTTCCTCTAGGGTTCATCTAGGGCAGAATGAGTCCGCCTGGGGCCGCCTGTGGCTGGAGGTCCCACACTCGGCCGCTCCAGACGCCGTGGTGACGGTGACAGTGACTGCAGTGGGTGGCGAAGCCCGCTCAGTGCCCCCGACCTTTGCCTTCCTCCGGCTCCTGGTGCTGGCCCTGGCCCCCCAGGTGCGCTGCCCTAAGGGCTCTTGACCCTGCAGGGCAGGGTGGAACTGCCCCACAGGTTGTCCAAGGCTCTGCTCCTGGGTGGATGGGAACCGCCCACCTTGCACGTGGTTACAGAGCGCTTTAACCGCTGTGGCAGCTATGGAGAGGAGAGGGTGGGCCAGGTGGGCTTAACTTGGGTGCAGCCCCAGCCCCACCCTGACAGTCTCTCCTCCTTCCCCCAGGACCAGCCCCCTGCCAAGGACCACTCCTCCCGCCCTGTGCTCCCCACCATGGGCGCTGCCCGTGGCCGCTCCACTCTGGTGACTGGCGGCGGGGCTCAGGGGAGGGCGGCGGGCAGCCCCCGCTGGAGCATGATTGGAGGGGTGCTGCTGCTCCGCCTGGGTGCTCAGTAAGGCAGAAGCTCGCAGCTGTTCTCAACCTGGGGGTCGCGACCCCTTTGGGGGGTCTGACGACCCTTTCACCGGGGCCGCTTGATTCATAACAGTGGCAAAATGACAGTTATGAAGTAGCAACGAAAATAATGTTATGGTTGGGGATCACCACAATATGAGCAACTGTGTCAACGGGCCGCGGGTCAGAAAGGTGGAGGGAGGAGGAGGGGTTCCCAGGCGCCTTCCCATGGGCCCCTCTGCCGAGGAGGGCATTCGGGTCTGGGCCCCTGTGCGCTTTGGAAGCTGGCATATGGAGGCTTTCTTTCTCTTGCACGTTGCCCCTTCCGTTTTTTTAGTTTGGGGGTAGAGGACAGTGGAGTTTCCCACAATGCACTGACCCCCTAACCCTGTGAGAGCCAAACCAATGGCTTCTTTTGGGAGTGAGGTGCCTTCCGTTTCTCCGCAGCACCTTCTTACTACTACTACCTGTTCATTCATTCCCGCTCGCCCAAGCCGGGGAGGGGTAGGGTGTGAGGATGAGCTTCGGTTGGGAGTGGGGCCAGAGGCTACCAAGAAGGTAGCCTGGATTGATGGAATTCTTCGAATTTGAAACTCCAGAGCAGCTAGTTTTATGTTGGTAGTTAAAACTGAAGGAGTGTATCAATAAACATGTCTTTTCCCCAGAGGGCTTCGGAAGGCAGATCTTCATTTTTTCTGCACATCACAGAGGGGAGAATGGGGCATGGGACACAAGAGAGGAGATGGCTGTTTTCAGGGGCAGCGGAGAAACTCCGGCAAGAGGCCTGACCTTCAGCCAAACTGTCGCCTAAGCCACCGAGCTGCTGGGTCATGAAGCAGAATAAAGAGGCCCGGGCTCTGATTCTACCTTGTCCTTCACCACCCTGAGGGGAGCGGGGAGAGGCCTTAGGCTTAGACCCTGGCCAGGCCCATGGGCCCCTTAGGCTCAACCATCCCCTTCTTTGGCCTGATGACTCCTTCCTGCTGCCCGAGGACCCCTGGAGAAGAGGAGAAATAGCCTGGGCATCAGAGCTCCCTGCTGCCCAGATTTAAAGCGGGACACCATTGACCGGGGAAGTGCTCTTGATTAAAAATTTGGTCTAGCTTGTCGTGCACTCTTTCCAAAAATTGGGACTTTTTAAAAAACGCCAAAAATTGGAACGGTCCTGCCAAAAGCGGACATCTGGTCACTAGATCCAAGACCCTCTGGGGATGGACTCTCTCCCACGGCACCCCTACTGCTTACCTGCTGCTACCACAAAAGCTGCTTCCTGGGGTGTGGGAAACAAGGATTTCTCCCAAGTTGTCTCCCCCACATATATGCCAAACTTAGCTGCTTGAGAATGACTATACACTTGGAGGTCATCAGAAGTAGGTCAGGGGTTATTCTCCCTAAGGGTGATCGGCCATCTAGACCAAGCAGTCACCACTGTTTATCCCACAACAAGTAGGGCCCACTCCCTTCTGATAAGGATAGTAGTTGTCTGTTTCCTTGTAGGAGCCCCCAAAGAGGTCAAGCCCACCCAAGGGTGGCCAAGGTTAGGCAACCATCATGAATCTAGGGTGCCCTTCTTGTCACATGTATACCTCTAGTTCCTCCCCTCCCTATTGTGTACACCCCTAGCTCATCCCCTTCCTATTATGCTAAGGTGACCAGACGTCCCGCTTTTGGCGGGGCAGTCCCGCTTTTTGGCATTTTTTTAAAGTCCCCGATTTTTGGAAAGAATGCACAAGCTAGGAAACGGTCTATTTGGTCCATATAGACCAAATTTTTAATCAAGAACCTCCCCCGGGTCAATGGTGTCCCGCTTTAAATCTGGTCACACTATGTTACGCCTATGCCCATTATACACCCCCTTCTATAATGTGTATGCCTATTGCACTGCCCCTGCGTGTGACGTGTGGTTACCTGTAATCACTCCCCCCTAAGGAGATATAACCCTGGGTTAGCAATTAAGGGGGTCCTCCAGCCTCCTGCCGGATCTCCGTAGCCCCACCTTGCCTTGGTTCGAGGACCTGGCGGGTAAGACCATGGCCATCCAGATGAGCGTGCTACCATAAAATGTGTCCGACTCCATTATTTGACTCTCTTCTATCTCTCATGATCTCTATCACTTTAATATAATCTTTATGTATCTCAATCATACAATTGTGCCTACTGAACCCGTAATTAGTGGTGGGGGGTTGGCACCCCTGTCCAACCGCACTGGGGCCTTTCTTTCCAAGCCTGGGTGGAGCAAGGCCTAGCCTGGCTCACAGGAGGGGGGAGAACTGGGAGTCAGAGGGAGGGAGCTGCATTTCCAGGTAAATCAGGGCTGGCACCAACAATTTCCCCTCCTTAATTCCCGAGAAGTCGGAACTAAAAACAATAAACTCACCTTCCCCTGAATCGGATTCTTCAAACATGTTCAGCCTCTGTATCTGGGCAAACTGTGGGCCACAGGTGTAAAATCTGACCGAAAATTCTAAAGAAGGGAGAACGAACTGGAGACAGACCGCTTGGGAGGAAATCTGCGGTCCCCTGCCCCTCACCCCCCCATTCTTCTCCCCCCACAGGGGGCGGGGACACACCTGTCTCATTACATTCTAGCCCTTCATCTCCTCAGAGCACACCTCCCCCTTTCTCTTTCCTTGGAACCTCCCTGTGTTGGTCCCATTGGGATAACCCAGGCCGCTCCCCATCCCAATGGAATGATTCAAATCACAGAGTCCAGGCCAGCCTCCTCCCCAACAATGGACACCACTTACGGACGCTGGCAGCCTGTCATTGCAATGCAAGCTCCGTTCCATGATCCCTGCCCATCAGCTTGCCCCTCTCCACAAACTATCCCCATGATCCCTGCCCATCAGCTTGCCCCTCTCCACAAACTGTATCCACACTTCTCAGGCCCTCCCTACCCAGAGGGCCAGCCTGTACCTCACTAAGGGCCCTCATTTGTAGCTGCTGCCCCTGGGCCTCCCGAAGATAGCCCCCAAACCAGGCCTGCCAGTGTTCCAGCAGCTCTGGCCCCTGCCACAGCACGGCCTGTTCTCACTCCAGGGCCTGCTGGAAAAGGCAGGAAGCAGGAGTTACCTCGGGCCCACTGCCTCCCCTCTCATTCTCCACTGAGCACATGGAGGGCAGGGGAAGGGGACAGCTTCGGTGTCCTTAAGGTTGAATGACAATATAGGGGCAGGCCTGGGGAGAGGGGTGTCCTCTGGCTAATACTCACCCAGAGGAAGAAGCTCCGGGCCCCTGGGTCTTGGCAGCTTGTCCCCAGCAGCAGCAGCAGGGCAGTGTAGGGAGCAGCTCACAAGGGGCCCTGTTCCCCATGGCTCTCAGGTGGGAAGGGTGGAGTCACCCCCACTGGTGCAGCCAGGCTGGTCCCTACCTCTCCACCATTCCCCCCCACCCCCTCCCCTTGTCATGCAGCCTCTCAGGGCCTTCTCCATCATGTCTGCCTGAGGGGCTGTTCCTACTGATGGGGAATCACCCCCAAGCTCCTGTCTGCCCTGGAAACTGCTCTAAAGTCCTCCCCAAAGTGCTTTTTCCCCACACAGCTAAATGCGGCCGTCTCCCTGCAGCGGTGTCACTGTGTTGTCCGTGAGCGGGCAGGGCCCTCTGGCCCCGCTCAGCAAGTGGTTCAGCTTCTTCCTGGCTCTCTTTTTGTGTGGGTCTGAGGAAACAATAGCTGCCAGAGACAAACTTTATTTCTATCAGGAAACAAAATATTCAGGGAGGTAAGCACTCTGGGTCTCGCAGGGGGCCTGGGGTGTGCCACAGGGCTGGGCTGGGGTGATACTGGGCTGAGCAGGGGGAGGGCTCTCAGAGGACAGAGCTGGCCACAGGCAGCACTTCCTGACTCATGAAAACGTCCAAGTCCAGGCCGGGGTCTTCTAAATCCAGTTTCAGAAATGTATCCACTAAGGTCTGACATCTGAAAGGGAGCGAGAAGGGCAAGACTTGACGGGGGAAGAGATACGCAGATCTCTCAGAAGTGGGGAGCGGCTGCAGCCCAGGAAGGCTGGACCCTTGAAGGTGGGGGGAACGTAGGTAGGAAGAAAGAGGGTCTCTGAGGGATAAAGGGCTGAAGGAGTGCACAAGAGGGTCCCTGAGAAAGGGAGGAGGGACCAGAACAAGGCCCCTGGGCCACATGCTCACTTTGTCAGTTGCGTCTTTCTTAGCATCTCATTGACGGGCTTGATGGGGTTTCCACTGCGGATCAAGTCTGACACCTAGGACCAACAGGAAGGCGAGGGACTCAGCAGAGAGAAGAGGAAGGCCGGGTCAGAAATCGTGTGGGCTCAGCGGGTCCCTAAGAGGGAAGGGGCTGAACATTTCCAGAGCATCACCTCCTTGCCCCGAGCGATGAGTTTGTGAGGAAGGCCGGCCTGGGCAGCTGTGTGGGAGGCATGGCTGGCACTGGCCACCCCTTCGCAGATCTGGTAGAAGAAGACAAGGTCGTCCCCGTCTTCACAAGTCTCCATGGTCTGAGGCGAGAATCAAAGGGGACATTGCAGTCCTGTTGCTTGCCCTGAGACACCGGGCCCCCAGGTGTGGGGAAGGGGAAGAGTGGAGGACCACCCAGCCAAGGGGGCTCTGGGGGCCACATTGGCTTCCTCACCAAATACTGAATGAGGGGTCCTTGCGGCAGCAGCTGTAACTGAACAAGGCTCAGAAAGTTGGTGGCCACCAAGATCTGGGGGCAGCTGGGTCCGAGTGCCACCCAGTGTCGGAGCACTGCCGCCAGAAGCGCGAGCCCATCCACCTGTGCAGGGGCAGGGGTGAGGGTGTGGGCCTCCGAACCCCACCTCCCTCTGTTCCTCTTCTGTCCACGTGTCCCTGCTCTTTCCCCCAGGCCCAGCCTCACCCTCCTGCTCCTTCAGCCCCCTCCATTTCCATCGCCACCCCTATCCCCCCTTTTGGGTCTCTGATCATGTTCTCCCTCACCGTGTTGGTCCCCTTTCCAAATTCATCAATGAGGACCAGGGAGTGCTCAGTGGCATTGTTCACTGCTTTCGCCACCTGCCGGACAAAGGAGGTTTTGGTTAGCACCCGAGAGAGGCCTGTACCCACCAGAGCCAAGCACAGGGTGCCATCAATAGCACTTGTACGTGTCCACACTACTACGCCACTACGCCCTTTGTGGCCAGGCACGTGTCTTGTCCGTGCATCCGGTTTTTTTGCCAGCGGTGCCTCGCCAGAAGCAAGGGTTCCACGGAGCTGTACTACATGGAGTTTACCTGGCTCCCAAGTTGGTGTTCCCCACCCCTCCTGTAGAGGGCGTGCAGGCAAAGGAAATGGTTTTCTTGCTCAGGGTGGAGACCTCCACCCACCCCCTGCTTTCTCTGACCTGGTTAAGGTCGATCATGAAGGTGGAGAGGCCAAGGGAAATGGATTCGCAGCTGTGGATTCGGGTGAAGATGGCGTCCACTGCCCCGATCTCCACGTCCTGCGCTGGCACAAAGCTGCCCACCAGAGCCATGAAGGTGATCAGGCCGACCTGGACAGAAGGGGACGGGAGGGGCAGCGGCTCGCTGGGGCCTGCGTGCATGCTGAGGGTAGGAGTGACAGGCCAGGAGGGCTGGACACGGCCGTAGAACACATTGTCCCTCTCCTCTCGGACCTGGGAAAGGAATGTGCCCCTTCACAGATGGGGCAGGGATCACAGACCATGCAGACCTCGGGAAGAACTGTGCGCTCTGGTGGAGAACAGGTCCTGGGAGGTCTTCATGGGTGGGGGGGTTTGAGGACAATGGGGAGGAGAGCTGGAGGGTTCTGGTTGGCCAGCCCGTGCGGGTGGGAGGTGCCAGAGGTGTGGGCGGTGGGGTTCCTCTCACCTGTTTGAGGTATATGCTCTTCCCTGAGGAGTTGGGCCCTGTGATGACCTTGACCCTCCCTTGGTCCCCTCCACAGTCTGCAGAGTTGGGCACGAAGGTGCGGGCACAGAGTTCCATCAGAGGATGTCTAGTGGGAGGAGAGGCCCTGCTCTAGCCTGTGGACCCCAAAGATGAAGCCCAGGCCGGCAACTTCTCAGTCCTCACCTGCCATTCTGGATCCGCACGCCACGGAGTCTGGAGGAGTAGCGAGGCCTGGAGTAGCCATAGTCCCGGGCAGCGCTGGCCAGAGCCAGCAGGACATCCAGGCGGGAAGCAAGGTCCAACACCCGAGTCAAGACAGCTGCCCGCGCCAGCACCTGGCACTGCAGCTGGTGCATCAACAGGGTCTCCTGGTCTGGGAGCCGGTGGGGGAGGGAACTTGGAGTCAGGGCAGGGGAGACCGAAGCAGAGACGGAGAGATCTACAGAGGGACTTGGAAACAGATACAGTCTGAGGCCCTGAGAGCGGCTCAGAGGAGAAGACGCAGAGTCAGAGTGACGGCAGGAAGAGAAAGAACCTGTATGAATATTCCAGAAGCTGTCCCCCGACCGACCCCAGCTGCCGGCTTCTCCTCACCCCGGATCTCACAGTGCAGGTCCCCCAGCAGTGCATCCAGTTCCTTGGTGCGAGCGCTGCGATAATGCAGCTTCTCCTCGGACAGAAACTGGACACACAGGGCTCCGAGCTGCAGGCTTGGCTCCTCTGGCTCCTCCACTCTTTGCCCACCTTTCTAGCCCCACCCCTGGGAGCCCTGCTGGTGTCTCAGTTACAAGTTGGGCTGCTGACCACAGGTTAGCAGTTTGAAACCGCCAGCAGCTCCTCTAGACGGGACTTTCTACTCCAAGAAAGTTACCATCTCAGAAACCCACAGGGACAGTTCTACCCTGTTCTAAAGGGTCACTGTGAGTTGGCATCAACTCGAGGGCAGTGGACGTTCAGAGCCTCCCCTCCAGCCTCCCACCCCTGCAGCTCTCTCCTTCGTCTCAGAGCTGGTGAAAAACCAAAGTAAAACTACAGAGGAGAGATCCTATACTGGGTGGTACAGAAGGGGTGTGGCCTTCCTCACTCAGCTCCTGACTCATTTTCCTTCCCACCCCGCAGACACAGGTTGAGCAGCTCACCATGAAGTCCAGTCCCTCGATCTCAAAGTCCCTGGCCTCGACCATGAAAGGCAGGCGGGGGAGAGAAAGGAGGAAGCCAATCTGGAGAGAAAGCAGCGAGTGACTGATGGGGCAGCTTCTCTCCCTAGAGTAAGCCCAGAGACCCCTGGGCTCCCCGCAGGAGGCTAGAGCCACCAGAAAACGTTGGTGGTCTTCAGACTTTCCCCCCAACGTATTCCCATCTGCCGATACGTCTCTCCTAAGTCAAAGGCCGCCCTCAGAAGCCCTGGGTCCCGGCCGCCCTCACCAGAGGGATGTAGATGACGCTGCACGAAGGGATGCGGGTGTCCAGAGTCTCCAGCTCCTTCCGCGCCACCGCCGTGAGGAAACTGGGAAGGCCCATCAGCTTCCGTTTTTCTGGCAGGGTGGACGACACAAAAGGAAGGGTGGGTTCCGACCCTGGTTACTCAGATGATGCCAGTGGGACCCCATCACGGGCAGCCCTTGTGGACGCCCAACACTCACTCTCGTCAATTTCAGGATCTATGTTGGGGAGCACGGTGAATCGGTTTTCAGCAAGACTGCCCTCAAAATCCACCTAAGGAAACAAAAGCCCATTCCCCGCACCCAGCACCATTGCCCAGCCGTCCTCGGGCCCCAGCTCCCTGCAGAGGTCCGGCTTCCGCCCTCCGCTCCAGGTACCTCCCGATGCTCCCCCCCTGCCTCCTGCCATCCCGATTTTAACTGGCCTCAAAGAATCCCATACTTTCCCATCTTCCACATTCCCCAGACCCCAAACCCAAACCCACTGACATTGCTTCGCCTCAGATGCAGTGGCCCTACAGAACAGGGTAGAACAGCCCTGTGGGCTTCCCAGACGGTTTTCACAGGAGTCAAACCCTCATCTCTCTCCCACTGAGTGGCTGTGGCAGAGTGGTTTTGAACTACTGACCTTAGCAGCCCAAAGTGTAACCACTATGCCACCAAGGCTCCCCACAGCCCCACCCCTCCGCCCCAAACCCTAGTCCCTCCCAATTCTCCAACCCACTTCTCTGTCCTGCTGCCCCCCAGGCGGTCGGTCCCGCCCCTCCCTCTCACCACTTTCCCGATGAGGCTGGCAATGTGGTGCAGGTCATCGGAGAACTCCTGGGCAATGTCCCGGAAGAGCTGGATGGCCTGGGGTAGGGCGCGGCAAGCATCCCTGAGGCCCAGGGCACTGTACACCGTCTGTGGAGAAAGGGAGGACGCGCGGGAGGCGGTCCACAGCCAGGCCCGGCCGAAGGGAAGGGGCAGCGATGGACTGAGAGGAACAAAGACCAACAGGGGAAAATAAGAACAACAGCAACGCAGAGAGATCTCAAAGGCAAAGAGAAATCATGAGAGGAAATGACAGGCACTCTCCTGAACGCTGAGTAAGATACTGGCCCCGTCCCAGAGGAGCTCACAGCCCAGAGAGAGAGAAGGGGTGGCGTGGGAGGGGGAGGTACGCACTCAGAAGACTTAAAAATAGGGTGGCACTGTCCACAATAGCAAGAAGATGGAAACAACTTAAATGCTCCTCGGTAAAAGCATGGCTAAAGAAACCGTGGTTCATCTATGTTTAAATTTCCCACTCGGCCTGTACATCTATTTTTATTATGCACAAATACATACTAATATTTGATCTTGGGGGGAAGCAATGTTGGTTCATATACAGAATGGAATATTGCACCTTACTAAAAACAATGAGGAAGCCACGAAGCACCTCGTGACATGGATGGAAGTGAACATTAGGGTGAGTGAAATAGCCAATCACAAAAGGACAAACCATATATGGGACCCACTATGATAAAGGGGAAAACAACAGCAGCAGCAAGATAAAGACTTCCACACCAAAGGGAATGAGCAGACTTTGGAGTTTGCCAAATGGGGGGAGGGTCAATGGGCTGCTAAGCTGAAGGCGAGTGGTTTGAACCCAGGAGCCCCTCGGCAGTCTGCGTCCGAAAAGATCCCCAACTCAAAGCCAGACTCACTGCCATGGAGTTGCTGCCAATGCAGCGATCCTACAGGACAGGGCAGACCTGCCCCTGGGGGTTTCTGAGACCAACTCTATATGGAAGCCCAGATCCCCATCTTTCTTCCAGGGAGCAGCTAATGGTCTTGAACTGCTGCCCTTGCAATTAATAGCCCAGCACCTAACCGTGAGGCCACCAGGGCCCCTCCGTAAAGATCAGAACCTGGGACCCTGTGGGTCCGTTGTACCCTGTCCTATACCATGGCTGGGAGTCAACTCCACAACAGGTTTAGTTATTGTCACTGAGAACCAGAATTCTCGGTGTGGAAGAAACCACTATTGATGGTGACAGAGAAATATGACAGGGATTCAAAGTGTTTGCTGAAAAATGGAGTTAAAAGATAGTGAAGTTTTCTGTGAACTTTTGAAGCCCTCTCATACATGAGAAAGTAATAACTTTGAGGTTCTGGATATAAACTGGTAGAATCCACGTGGATTTATGTGCTTTCTTTAAAAAGATAAGCAATTCCTAAGCTTGCCCATAAAACAGGACGAAAGCAATGGGCACCCTCAGCACCTAGACTGTGGCCCTGAACAGCCAGGGCTCTTGGGAGAGATGGCTGACTCCGCCTCAGAACCAGATACCAGGGAAAGATCTGGTAGATGTTGGTGAACAAGGAAGTGATGGCAGTCTACTGAGGTCCTGTTTAAAGCTACTGAAACCAACTGACCAAAGACGGAGTCATTTGAACAGGCAAAAAACGGGGAAAGCCCCGGGGGCTGAAGCACACCTGAGTTTGTGATCCTGGTATGCCTCCCTTTTTGAAATCCTGCTTGATATGCCACTTTGCTTTTATGAAAGACCCGTATTTGTGCTGAAGGAGCCCCGGTGCCTAGTGGTTACCCACTGGCCTGCTCATGCTAAGGCCAGCTGTTCAAAATCACCAGAAGCTCCAGGGGAGAAAGGCAGGGCCTTCCACTCTCATGGAAAGTTATAGTCTGTGAAACTCAACACAGCGGCACTTCGGCCCTGTCCTACAAGGTTGCTAAGCGTTGCAATCGACTCAATGGCAGTGCGTTTGATTTTGACTGGTATTTGTGTTTTAGCCAAAAGAAAGCTGAACATTTTCACTTTTATGCAAAGGGGAGAAAAGTAAAGCTAGCATGCAGCTTTCCAGTGAGCCATTAAAGAAGTGGGGCTTTCCCTCCAGCAATAAGAATGGCAAGGGCGCCATAGAAAGTAACTGTCTAGGAAAGAATGGTGCTGTACAAATATGTCTGATACAATTGATGTATGGACGGTAATAAGCATTGTAAGAGCCCTCAATCAAATGACCGAAAAACAAGAGAGAGAGAAACTGAAAAGAGGAAAATAAGAGTGGGCGTGGTCACGTTCCTTCCCCCAGGACTGTGTGCAGCACAGCCAACTGCCAGAGCTTGGAACTGCGGCTGCACACCTTAGGTTAGTGTTGGTTGAACCAAAAACCAAACAAAAACCCTCACTGCCGTCAAGTCAATGCCGACTCACAGCGCCCCTGCAGGGCAGGGTAGAACTGCCCCTGTGAGTTAAAGCCCTGCCCTCCCTCAGAGGGCCTAGTGGTTTCAACGTGCTGACCTTGCACCCCAACACCCCCCCCCCCAGGGTTTTGCTATTTGGTGGTTCTTTTTTGGGGTCTGGGAAAGCTCAGAATGTTTCCCATGTAAATGAATGCTCATAGATTCTCTCTTGATGCCGTCTCGCAGAGTGCTCTCCTTTCAGATGGGGGGTGGGGACCCTGGCCTGGACTCACGGGCCACCTCGGAGGCTGTCAAGGAACTTGTTTACTGTTTTGATAACTCGTCAGTAAAGGCAGGAATGGAACGAAGCCATTTTCTACACGAGCTGTATCACTGGACAACCAAAGGGTCGATGGGAGCAGACGGCTCTTCACAGAAGTGGTCTGGCTAGCAAGAGAAGGGATGACAGCTCCAGGAACGTGACTTTCCAGCCCCCAAGGCATTCGTCGGTTTAGGCATTCCACATCAAAGGTCGCTACCACCACCAAGAGAGACAATTAGACCGTGCACCAATTAGACCATGCACCCGCACCTGAGCAAGTCTTGAGAGGAAAAACAAAAGCCAAACCGAACCTGTTAAGTGTCTAGATTCCGCTGTTAGTTTCTAGAAAACAGGAGAGAGGGATGTGAAAAAGACCCAGGGGAAGTAATCAGCAACATCCAGACAAAAGGAAACTGGGATAAATCACCGATTTCCTCAATAAATAATCGCCAGAATCCTCCTTAGAGGCCAGATGGTAAGACTGACTCACGTCTCACGTCCTTTGGACATGTCAGGAGAGACCAGCCCTTACAGACAGATAGCATGCGTGTGGAGGGGCAGCCAACAGCGGAAAGCCCGAGGACACTTAACAGCAACAGGAGAAGAGCCTCACGAGACCTCACCTCATGGTCAGATGTTAATTATGTTTGGATCCTAATTCAAACAAACCACAATAAACTCATGACATCGAATTCACAAGTTGAAATTTCTACATCCGATATTGGATGATATTAAAGAACTGTTTAAGTAAAAAACTGATATTAAAGAACTGTTTGTTAAGTGGCGTGATTCCTCTTTAGAAGAATTATTTCCTTTTAGAAATCACAGAAATCTTTATGGATGAAATTGCATGATGGCTGGTGTTTGCGTCACATTAATTCAAGAAGACCATTGGGGTGAGGCAAATCCCTGAATCTACTGTCCTGACATCATCTTTAAACCTTAAAAATGCTCGCGGAAGTATTCTTTAAACCAGGTAATAGTGCAGCTTAATTAGGAAAGACGGTTTGCCTGGAGCACTGTGTTCGTTTAAGATAGGGTGACCAGATTTTAACATCGGTAAAGCGAGACACCATTGCTAAAACTCATATCCTGGCAAAACAGCCACATGGCAGCTGAAAACCGTATACCCTAGCTTGTCGTGCATTCTTTCTAAAAATCGAGACTTTTTAAAAATGCTGCGGGACGCGGGAAAAATCGGGACGTCTGGTCGCCTTATTGTAAGAGCTTTTCTATGGAATCAAGGGAGAAAGATGAGGCTTTCTACTCCTGTAAGGAGTTACAGTGTCTGTAACGACAGGGGTTAACCCACCTTCCTATAAGGTTGCTAAGAGTCAGAGTGGACTCAATGGCAATGAGCCTGTTTGTTTGTTTGTTTGAATATGGGAGCAAACTGACCATTGCGATTGCAAAGAGCAGACAGGAACCTCCGGGTTCGAGTCAGTGTTCATGGAGGAACAGCTCAGACAACTCAGTCAACGTCATGGAACTGCATAAGCGCAAACTGTTGAACTGGTGTTCTGCAGTGTCTCCTTAACAACAAATTAAATAAGCACCCAGGAAGGTGAAAGTGAGGAAAGATGTAGATCAAAAAAGATCGGCATATGGTAAGCGTTGAAGCTATGTGGTGTATGCACGGGGTTCATCATTCTATTGTTTTTGAGAGTTTTCATAATATAGAGTTTTTTTGTCTTGAAGTGTTGGGGTGAAGTCGGGGCAGGGTGACCTGAATCCAGGGAGTCTAGAGCAGACACTGAGGGGCTCAGTCCGGGCTTACCTTGTACAGGACCTGCCAGTCGCTGACTTTAGTGTGGGACAACCTCATGCGTTTCAGAATCAGCTGCAGTCAGACAAGAGGACAGCTGCTCTTTTCCCTCCCGACCCAACTCCCTTCAAGAAGCGCAAGGGCCACTCTCAGCCCTGGACCTCCTGCCCCAGCCCTGTCCCCCAGCCCTCCTGCTCACAGGCACGTTCTTGATGTGACCCAGCAGCCGGTGCAGTATCTGAGCCATGTCCAGATTCTGAGGCAGCAGGAAAAACTGAATGACTTCCAGACGGGAATTTAGTTCCCCCAGGTCTCGAGTTGGGCGTGTGAACCATAGCCTGGAAGGGAATGGGGGTAAAAGATCGTGATTGCTCTTGCTGTTGTCTGGATCTCAATTTGCCAGCATGTGTGGCTGGAGGCCCTGAGAATTTCAGTCGTCTACATGAAAGGAGGCCTGGTGACTATATGTTGGGCTACAAGGATGAACGTTTGAAACCACCAGCTGCTTCTTTTGGAGAAAGATGGGGCTTTCTAATCTCTTAAAGATTTAAAGTCTTGGAAACCCACAGGGGCAGGTCTACCCTGTTCTAAAGGGCCGCTCGCTGTGAGTTGGAATCAATTTGACGGCAGTGAGAAGAAAGAGAAGCTCTTGACCACAGAGGGATCCAGACAAGGCAGACAGGACAATCTACAGATAAGCCTACTGCTGTTGAGCCAATTCCAATCCACGGCCACCCTTCAGGACCAGGCAGAATTGCTCCTGATGTTCCCAGGATTGTACATCTTTTTGGAAGCAGAGCACCTCACCTTTCTCCCAGTTGGTGTGATGAACCACCAGCTTAACCCAGGGTCCCTGAGTCTGTGAAAGCCATCCCCATTTTGGAAAGCCCACGAGTCTCTTCTGAAAACAAAGCTTGGGTCTACAGTGATATCACCCCGAACGTGCCCGTTCTTGTCTAAAAACAAAGCCTGGGTGTGTCTGACAGTTACTGCTGGTGTGTTTCCACGTAGCTACTGAAAAGCACCGGGAGCGAGCATGACCGTGTCTGCAGGTTCCTGTGACCATGGGCAGGAGCATGCGTTGTTCCATGTGGATGTGTGGTGGAGCGTGTCAATATTTGAGATGAAGAGCAGTGTGGTGAGGTATTTCTGTGCCAGCACGCCGACGACTCTCTGGCTGAGTAGGAGGGGTGAATCCATATCTGCTCATCTTTTTTTAGCTGTGAAATTCGTCTTTTGAGGTTCTTCCTGGGAAAATGCATCGTTGCCCCATGTGAAATAAATGCTAGGTGGACTCTTAATCACGGTCCTCTCTGCAGGACAGATAGAAGGATGAAGGAGGGAGGCCGAAGGGCTTCAACAGCACAGCTATTAAGGCAACGGATACAGACGTTTGTAACTTGTGTCAGAGGCACTGCTTAAGGAGTCAAATATACAGAAGTAGATGTCTCGGCTGAGCCTGTCTAATTCTGGGCAGCCCCATCTCTCTGTGGCTATGAAGAGTTGAGAATCGGTAAGAGCTTGTGAGCCGGGGATTTCTCCCCCCCACGTTATAGTTAAGTGTTGTCATGTCGGTTCTGACTCCTTGCAATACCCTCTGGTCCTGCCCCATCCTCACAATCGTTGTCATGTTTCAGCCCATTGTTGCAGGCACTGTGCGATTCCATCTCGTCAAAGGTCTTCCTCTTTCCTGCAGTCCTACTTTACCGAGCAAGCGTGATGTCCTTCCTATTTCTAAACCACAGGACGGCATCAGGTATCCACCTTGTTCCAGAGTCAAGGTGTGGAGGTCCTGGGACACGAGGATGTGCACCTCCCACTGGGCTCTGCGGCCAGTTAAGTCTGGGCTAGAGAACACCAGGTTAGAGTGAGGCAGGGTCTCAACTCAATTCCAAGGTAGGTTTCCGACCTCTCTGCTGGTGGCCACAGAGGGTTCCGGCCACGGCAGGGCAGAGCACTCTGTGGGTAAGCCCTCTGCCACTGCATTGGTTCTGGCTACAGCCGTCCTAGAGGGCACATTAGGACTGCCCCTGATGGTTTCCATGTCTCCAAGGTGATGAATCTTTTGGGGAGCAGACAGCCTCACCGCTCTCCTGGCTGATGGGTTTGAGCCACCACCCTTTCCCACTGCTTAACCCACTGTGCCACCAGGACTCCTCAGTCTGTGAATAGCTGTTCCCATGTAAGATTCACCAAGCTAACTGTCTTGTAAAAACAAAAGCCTCGGAATCCAGGATGGATGAGCCCTATAGGACCAGTGGTGTGAGTGGCAAAACAGGGAGGGTAAAGGGAGAATGGGTAGGAAAGAGGGAACCGATTACAGGGAACTGTGTGTGACCTCCTCCCTGGGGGACAGACAACCAAAAAGTGGTTGAAGGGAGACGTCGAACAGGGCAAGAAATGACAAAATACCCATTTATAAACTATCAAGGGCTCATGTGGGAGGGGGGAGCGGGGAGGGAGGGGGAAAAATGAGGACCTAATGTCGGGGGTTTAAATGGAGAGAAAATGTTTGGAGAAACGATGTACAAATGCGCTTTACACAATTGATGTGTGTATGGAGTGGGATAACAGTTGTATGAGCCCCTAATAAAATGTTAAAAAATAAAATAAAATAAAATGTTCATGGGACTCTTAAAAAAAAAAAAAAAAAAGCCTCGGTGTCTCTGGCTCGTAAACGGCTAGTATCAGAAGGCATCTTGGCGATCACCTGGCCCACCGCCACTGGCTCAATTGTGACCCATAGTGACCCTGTATAGGGTTTCCCAGGCTATAATCTTTTCAGAAGCGGACAGCATAATCTTGCTCCCTTCGATAGCTGGTGGGTTTGAACTGGTGACCTTGCCATTACCCAACAGCACCACTAGATACCTAAAAAATGAAAGAAAGCAACACAACTCAAACTCACTGCCATCAAACCAATTCCGACTCAGAGTGACCCTATAAGGGTCACAACCCTGTGGGTGTCTGAGACTGGAACTCTCCGAGAATAGAAAGGCTCCTTTTCCTCCTGCAGTGTGGCTGGTGGTCTTGAACTGCTGACCTTGAGGTGAGCAGCCCGACGCTTACCCAACAGTGCTACCAGAGACCTAGTCAAGGCAAGCTCCCTCATACACAGCCAAGAAGACAAGCAACTTGTGTAAAGTCATGCTGCTGGTACACAGCACGGCTGGCTCCCCGGAGCAGGTCTCCAGACCACAGGCGTGTCCTGGTGACAGCGCTCTTCCCAGGCACACTGTGACGTTCAGTCACCTTCCCGGTGCTCTGCGGAGATTTTGGCAGCTGGGTCAACCGTTCATCCTCTAGGTTAAGCTTTAGTGCCCTTCCAGACCCCATCTGGGGGACCCGTATTCCTCTCCCACCTTTATCTGGGTCGTCTCTTCCCTCCCATCCCACTGAGCTTAGAGAGCTGGACCCGAAGCACTGCCACTTTGTGGGCAATTAAATTACACCACCAATTACCTGGAGATGACCTCAGAAAGTATTCTCAACGAACCTCCGAAAGATGTCCATGGCAGGGCGGGTGAGGTGGGGAAAGAACTGTGTCTCCCGCGGCATTGCATGTTAGGCAGTAGGCTGCTAACTGTGAGGCTGGTGGTTCGAACGAGCTCCCGAGAAAAATGAGGTTGTCTGCTCCCAGAGAGATTTAGTCTCCAAAAGCCCTTCTATAATAACATTGCTGAGTCTGCGTGGACTCAATGGCAGTAGGTTGGGGTTTGCTGTTGCTGTTTAGGCTAGAGAGACTTCGGCTCTGCGAGTTTAGACGAGGGGGCCGGTGCACTTGAGTTCATGCACCATGATCCCCCGCTGAGCGCTGCCAGGTACAAGGCCAGGTGCCAGGCGCTAAGGTAGCAAGAACAAGAACGGCGAGGGCACACAGTTCCTTCACTTGTGAGGGCAGGCAGACCCACAGGCCACTAGCTCTCACCTGTGGTGCTAGTGTGGCCAGAAAAACATAAACAAGCACTAAGTGCGCACACAGGAGGGTGGGTGTCAACCCCCAACAGGTGCCTTGTGAAAATATCACCAAAAAGGTGATTGTTGTGCTGCACTGCACCTTGGAGAGAAAGTGAGACTTCTGACAAGCAGAGCACCGGAGAAAGACTTTCTGGGGGGAACAGGCAGGGTGCTCCGGAGTGCCTGCGGCCCGAAATGACTGGAAAAGACAGTGGGCCCTGAAGGAAAGGGATTGGGGTAGGGCGAACCTGGACATTAACGTTGGGGGTAAATGGGAGGGGCCCTGAACGTCATGCTTCAGAGAATGCCCAGATTCAGCCTGCAGGGAAGTGGGAGGCCGCCTGAGGTGGATGTTTGCTTTGTTGTTGATGTTTGGTTTTCTATTTAAGCTGTATGGAAAGCAGCATGGCATTCTGGGATCTCTGTGTTGGAATGAAGAATATTTTAGCAAGGGTGGATTGGAAAAAAAAAAGAAGAGACTAAAAGCAGAGAGCAATTTAAGGGCAAATGCAATACTCCAGGGCAAAAATGATGCTAGCCAGAATGAGAGCCGTGGATGGGAGAGACATTTCAGGGTCAAATCGATCGGCCTTAATGAATAATTGAATGGAGAGAGTAGGGGGTGGGCAGGAACCATCCGACCAAAATAGCTTGAGAAACTCGATTGCCAGCAATGCCATTAACCAAGACAGGGACGCAGGAGGAGAGCGGGGTCTGGTGGGCGTCTGTTCGGAGTCTGAGCTGCCTGGTGAGGATCTCCAATTAGCTTCCGACATACAGAGCCCGGAACTAGAGACACGTGCTGGCTTTGAGAGCCACTGCAGATGAGCTCCAATTTGAACTGTGTATGATGCTTTCATTGTCACCGAGGCATTCCGCGGGCACACTGGTGTTGGAGGGGTGTGTTTCTACTGCTGGTATGTGCGCGAGTCTGGGTATCCTCAATGGGTGTGTGTGTATCTGCCGACCACAGAAAATAAGGATACTAGCTACCACGGAGTTTGTTGGAAGGGTTAAGTGCACTTTGCCAGCCCTGGGTAAAAGGCAATTGCTATCTTTACTAGATGGGCATAGGGCCAGTGTGTGAGAGAGTCTGTGTACAGCAGTAGTATTTAGTACACAGTGTGTACATGAAAGGTGTGTAGTATGGGTACGGCCCACTCACCTGAGCAGCTTTTCTCCCCACTTACAGCGGCATCTGTTGAGGATTCCTGTGGGGGGAGGGAGGGAGTGTGTTGGTTAGGAGCAGAGACCGGGAAAGGAATGTGTGAGTGTGGGTGTGGGTGTTGGGCAGGCTGGCTGGAGGCGTTGCCCAGGTACAGGACACAAAGGTAGCCAAAGCTGGCGAGTGTGGCTGTGGCCACCAGCCAGAGCTGGGACTACTGCATCACAGTGGGGAGAGGGGCCAGGCCTTGGCAGTGACACTCAGGCAGGAAGTACACTGAGCAGGCAGAGTTCGCCTTACAAAGAGCCCAACACACATATGCAAACATCAGACACAACCAGTCCACTGAGGTCTGCAGAGTGAAACCAAGTAGATGGGGGTGGGGGGGAGGGGGGAGAGATGCCCCTAATATACCCTAAAGTCCAGAAACAAGTGATAGACTATGCAGATCCTAGTCAAGCATTTCCATAACTGGTCTTTACACCTGGGTCCTTCCTAGAGTCCCTGAATGGGTGGTCTGAAGTGGAAACATTCAGACAAACCCTGAAAAGGACTATGGGTTTGGTAAACTAATACACCCTCAGGGGGCATGGGGAGAAGCCCCAGCTCGGAGGGGACAGAAAAAAAGCAAACTTGCTGACTCAGTGAGGACCAGGTGGGGTTCCAGGCCTGTCATAATTTAAGTAGTAAGCCCAGTCTTCTCCCACAGACCTGCTGGTGGTTTCCAACTGCCGACTATGGGGATCGCAGCCCAGCACGTAAGCACTACACTATAAGAAATCTAGCTTGAGTGGAGGTGACACCCAGCCGTGGGGGTAAAGTAGGGAGGGAGGGCTGGGGCACATCGTTGGAGGCCACTGCCTTTCTGGCCAGATGGGGATGATGCGTCACACCTACCAAAAAGGCTGAGCCCCTCCTTCAGACCAGTGGCCACTTTGTACACCGAGGGGTGAGACTCGCTCTTAAATATCTGCAAAACGCTGTCAGAGAAATGGAAGGGTCTGGGGTCACTGAAGGCTTGCGTTTTTTAAGACATTGGGGTCTGGGGCTGAGAAAAGGATATGTATGACACATTCTCCTGAGATAAGTCCTTGATGTGAGGACTGCCCTTCCCTTCTCCATGCCTCAGTTTCTCCCTTTAAGCAAGGAGAGTGAAACCTTTGTGCTTCTCCTGCCTCTCTTCCTCTACCTTCAAGGAGAGAGATCCTGAGAGCCCAGGATTAGGAGTAGGGCAACGGAAGCCTCCTCAGGATTACTAGAAGCATTTGGCTTGATCCCTGTCCCTCCCCAGAGACGGCAGCCTGCCTCCACCCCCATACCTGTAAGTGTCTTGGTCTATGCTCACCAGATGGGTCCTGAGAACAAGACAAGCAGAAGGAAGGTGGCTGGAACACAGGAGGTTCGACTCACCGCTGAATCCCGCCATCTCTGTCATCTTCCCAGAGCTCCACAACCCTCGGGTTCTCCTGCGTGCCCTAGAACACTTGACCCTGGGGTTCCTGTCCCAGATCCACACTCGGTATGGCTTTGGAGGCCTTCCAATCCTACCAGGAAACCCTGGTAATGTAGTGGTTATGTGTTGGGCCGCGAACCACAAGGTAAGCAGTTCAAAACCACCAACTGCTCTAGGAAAGAGGAGGCTTTCTCTTCTAGTAGATTTACAGTCTTGGAAATTCACAGGGGTAGTCCTACCCTGTCCTATAGGGTCAGTCAAAGTCAGATTCAACTCAGTAGCAGTGGGTTGGGTTTTGAATCCCACCAGGTCAATAACCTACAACACAAATTTCTTAAAGCCCAGGATGGGGACGCTGACGTCAGAGTCTTCCAGCTCCACTCCGATTCTTCTTCGACCCAGGAACTTGAGCAGCCCTCCCAGAGCTCGAACCTGGAAGTGGATTCGGGGTCAAGCCCAGAGTCCTGGAGCCGGGACAACACCCAAGAAGATGATCTGGCCTCCTTTCCAAGGCTCAGGACTCCCCCCTAGGTCTGAGGTGCTGGGGCCTTTCTGCAGCCCACTCCCCCCTAGGTCTGAGGTGCTGGGGCCTTTCTGCAGCCCACCTCATCCCAGCCTGTTCCCCAGACCCCATCGCACCGTGAGGAGGCAGTCAAAGGGAATGACAGAGGAGAGGAACAGGATTTTCTCCGTGGCAGTCATGGAGTCTGGGATGAAGGAGTAGTTTCCAGAGAGGAGGCGCTGTTTGCTTATCTCCAGACCTACTTGAGGGGAAGGGAAGAAGAAAGAAGGGTGAAGCGGGCAGGCCACTGAATCAGTTCTGAACTAGTTCTGAATCCAGAACTAGAAGAAATTGGGGGGGGGGGTGGTTTATGATTAGGATGATGTATATACAACTCTTTAAAAAAGCGATTTAACAATGGAAGTCCATGCTATGTGAATACTCTATGGAGAAAACTACCAAAGAAAAGAAACCAAACTTGGCCAATGGCTACCATGGGAGAAGGAGGAAGCATTGTTGCTCGGGCGGCATTGAGTTTATGTTAACGGCAGTGGAATCATTGGAAAGGGAAATCAATAATGGTTGTACAACACAAAGAGTATGCTCAATGGCACTGAATTATACATGTGGAAACTGCTGAATTGGAGAAAGTTTTATTGTGTACATTTTTGTCCCAATTAAAGAAATAATAATCATATGAAAACAATGAAGAAAACGTTCTAGAATTGAATATGGTGACAATTGTACAGCTCTTCTTGATGTGACTGGTTTACTGAATCGTGTACCATGTGGATTGATGTGCTAATAAAACTGTTTTTAAAAAAATGAAGAAACAGGAGATTGATGATCGCACTTTTTTCATCCCATTTTAAGAATGAGGCAATGGAAACCAGAGAGGTGGCGTGGCTTGCCCAAGCTCACGTAAGCAGTTAGCTGAAAGCTGAAGCCAAGAGCTAACTGTTTAGACTCAGTATGACTCTCTTTTCATGCCTCGTATCAACTAAAGCTAGCAGAGAACACAACCTCAGAAAGATAAATGGCCCAGGAGACTAAGATAGCCTGGAATAGGGGGCTTTTGATTCAAAACAAAATGACGGTATTAATGCTCTAAAATCTCATTAGGACAGAACATTCTCTGACCTTTTTACAAACTGCGAAGGTGAGAAAGAAAAGTGCCTATGGTTCCTCGAGGTCACTGAGGCAGTGGCTTGTGTTGTTTTTTGTTTTGTTTTTTAAATAGGGCTAAGTGGCTTTGGCTTAAAGGGAAGAATTCCAACAACCAAACTGTCCAGGTGTCGTTACTCCTTCTTTTGAGATGGAGACCCTCATTTCTGGACCCACCTAGGTGGATGTCCAAAGCTTCTTACAGGGAGGGGAACAGGAAAGATCTTGCAGAGACTAGTATTAGGCCATGGAGGATACTCAGGTTGGGAGAATAATAAAGCTAAGGGGGAGAACGCTAAGGACAGTAGACAGCAGGGTGTTAGATGGGAGGAGGAGGAGTTGGGAAACAGGAATGGGGAATTGAGCAGAGCCAAAGGAAGGCGATACCAAAATCCACACTGGGCAAAAAGACAATTTCCGGTCTCTGAGGCTCTGCATACTCCTGGGATGCTGTGAGGGAGGCAAAAGAGAAAAGGCTATCACCCTGTACATGTAAGTTTTGCCTCTGCCCCACCTTCCCTGTTGCCCAATTCTAGGTTCTCGCTGTAGATCCCTGGAGACCCAGCCTGTCTCCTGGAACATTCCATACCTTGCCCAGTCCTTACCCAGCTTCCCCAGAAACTGTGACATAGTTTCATCCTGTTTGGCGCTTGTCACAATGGACCGAGGACTGATTTCATCCAGAACTTGGAAAGAGAATGGAATCTTAATAAGATTTTTATCTTTTAACTAAATGGGACCTCTCCTAGCTAGCCTTTTGCCCCCTCAAGACTTTATTTCTTCCCTCTAAGGGCAAGGAGTGCTCTGTGTGCTGGCAACACAGGCAGGAATTGGGGATGAGATTCAGGGAAGGAGAGTCCTGAGACGGGCTGAGCTGAGTGATAGGAGCTAAGGAAGAGGAGTGTCCTGGAGATTATCCTTAGGCTATAAACTCCTGGAAGTAAGAGACGACTGATTCATGTAGCACTTTATCTCCAGCACCTGACACATAATAAATACCTAATACATAACTAAGTAGTGAAATGAATTCCTAAGAACAACAGGACGTGCCTGGGTGTCAATGAATCAAATGCTATGCAGATTGAGTCAGGGGAAGGGCATATGACTATGGGAGATACACACTCTGAGCCCCGGAGACTAGGGGGAGTCATGCTTCTGTCCCCACCTCTCCGGAGAAGCTTGAGGGACTCATGATCCGGGGCATCTGGCATGAAATGGATGGTGGAGTCACTTGTGTCATAGTAGGCAATGCCCAAGAATCCTGAATTCCACAGCACACACAGATGGATCTGTTCAGCAAGGGAGAAACCAAGGTATTTAAACCACTGATAAAACCTTCATGAGAACGGGTGTCTTTCCATGAATTCTGACTTAAAGAGACTCCGTGTGATACACAGTCAAACCGTGCTGTGGGCCTCGGTGATCATCGCTACAGAAGGGGCCTTAATGTAAGGTGACCAGATTTAAAGCAGGACACCATTGACGGGGGTGTGGGGGTGTGTTCTTGATTACAAATTTGGTCTATATGGACCAAATAGACCGTTCCCTGGCTTGTTGTGCATTCTTTCCAAAAGTCTGGGCTTTTTAAAAACGCCCAAAATCGGGACGTCTGATCACCTTACCTTCATGTGGCAGCGGTGAAACACTTCACCGCTAACCCAGAGGTTGGTATTTCAGACTTACCTAGCAGCTGCCTGGAGAAAGATCTAGCAATCTGCTCCCTGGCAATCGACTCCTATAACGATTACAGGCAAGGAAATCTCGCCGAGGCCTGTTCTACTCTGTCACAAGGAGCCACTGTCAGTCAAAACTGAAATCGTGGCAACCAACAAGCTTCTCAGAAGCAGTTTGCCAGACCTTTCTTCCGCTGTGCCACGAGGAGGTTCCAAGCCTACCCCTTTAGGTAAGCCTACAGCAAACCATTTTGGTTTTTTTTTTAATGAACTTGTTTGTCACCGATGGCTCTAAGTCCATTTCAGTTTTCCCTTTCCTTCTCTTTCCATTTTTTTCTTAGCCACGCACAGAATCTGGAGGGATTTGTGTGTGTGTGTTTTTAAAAAGCACACTGTACACGTTCACACGGCCCATCTCCAGAAAGGACATCAACAAGAACCCGTTAAACCCCCCACAGCACCCCCGAAGCTCCTCACGCCGCGGATGATTTGTTTGCAATCATTTTGCCAATCTCTGAGGTAGGCACGCCCCCCCC